CCATATTTTATATTTAATACTAAATAATATTTATCAGAAATTTTAAGAGAACATGGGATATATCAAAGTGGATGAGACACAGATACTAGACTCATACTCACAAAGTTGACATCAGAAGTACTTACCAAAGGACAAGAGGTTTTGATCGAATTCTTATTTAGTATGCAGCTAGATAAATGCTATGACTCAGTTGACACATAAAATTTTAAGCTTTTATAATAATGTGTTTGTTTAGATTATGCCTTTGATTTATAGTGCCACCCAACTTAGATGATTGTTGTAATATTTTGTTTCTTATGGAGCTAGTAAGTGTTTTTTATCCTCCCCCAATCAAGTATGCAACATTCACTAAAGATACTATCCACTAACCATTTTTTGTTAAAATTAACTATATTCCTTTGACATTGATTTTCATTATGTTTGAGAGCATTAATATTATATTATTTAATACATTACCTCTGCATATTTCTCTTGAAAGAGGAAAATTTACATTAAGTTAATTTATTTTTTAATGTTTACATCTTAGATATATATATTCTATAAATATAAGTATAATATTGTATATAAAAATTTAGATACTATTGTTACTAGTGTCAATCCTATCTCATTTTTTAATAATATTTAATATTTAAGAAGTAAACATTAAAAATAAATAAACTTAATGTAAATTTCCCTCTTTCAATAAAAATATGTAGAGGTAATGTATTAAATAATATAATATTAATGCTCTCAAACATAATCATACAAGAATAAAATTATAAAATAACCACTCTTAACTTGTGTGATAGAGCTAAAAACTTTATGTTCATTGGTGAAAGAGCTAGCTCTTGTTTGCACCGAGGAGGATGTTGTTGGCTACAACACAGTGTGTATGCTGTTGTGCTATATACTACATGGAGGCCAAGTGGATGCAAGTGACAAAGAATAACAAATTTGGTGATATTATTATAGCAAATTAGGTGTTAGAGAATTGGGACCACAATTTAAAAGTTACATAAAGGAAGCTGATTATAGTGAGCATTATGGCAACATGAAGACACATATTATCTACTAAAAATATTGGTTTGCCACAATTGAGAAGTATGATTTCACATGTTATATATAAACGACATAATTTTCTAGATTAACTGTGATAATGTAACACTTATCAGTAATCCCACATCACACATATATAATAGAAAAAAAAGAGTTTTAGTTCTATGAAATGATGTAACTATTACAATAAATTTATTTGATTAGACTTCACAGGTAGAATATCTTTCAACATTTTTAATATGTTTCAAAAGTTCTTTATATTTTTTATTTTGGTTTTCTTTCTTCCAAAACTTTTTGGAATAGAAATTATACGGGATAATGCTCATCGAATTTTTAATCCAACTAAGCATATAATTTTAAGAGCTATAAGAGCTGCAATAGAGTCAATTAATGATTTAACTCCATATATGCCTGGAAGTTCTATTATTTATGTTCATAATGAAATAAAAATAGTATTAACCCCTTTAGCTATAGAGAATGTTCCTCGGTATTACAAATTACTTTGTAGTATATTTCCTGAATATGCAGCTCCTTATTATGGTTCTATGTTAAAGAAGAAATTTGAATCTATATACACTTCTCATATAGAAAATGATTATGGTATATTAAATTTTGGAATATCTGAATATATTGTTGAATCATTTAGTATTTTATATAATTTTAAAAATGTTAACTATAATACAGCTCAAAATAGTTCTTTAAAATTTATACCCACTGTTCAAACTTCTCATTATAATCCTTATATATCAAAAAATATAGTTAAAACTGATTGTACATGGAAGGATGTTTGTATTAGAAGCATAGATGATTTTTCATCATTTTCTAACTTATATGCTGGAAACTTTCTCATCTCACCAAATGGAGAATATATATTATATATGCAATTAAATTGTGTACTTATCTTGTTTAAAGGTCCAATTACCATTTGGAAAACTGAAACAAATAATAAGGGAGAAGGTTGTTTGTTGAGATTGCAAACTGATGGTAACCTTGTAATATATGACAATAAAAGTATTGTTATATGGACAAATAGTATATATTGGAAAAACATATGGAAGGTAATGGCACTATGTGTAAGCAATAGTGGTCATATAATTCTTTATGATAATGTAGAAAAAAAATCTATATGGACTAAACCAAATTGATTTTATAAAAAATTGAATAAATAAGACTATCATTATATATTGATTCTATCTTGCCAATAGTGGTTTTTAATAATGATTTGATTCAATTAAAACTACTTACTTTTATTTAGAAGCTATCTAATATGGACTCTCATATAGAATGGTATTAGAAAGGGGTAGACCAAAATTAAGTTAAGTTCACAAATTTAGCTTAACTCAAGTCAAAGTCATAAAAATGAGATTTTAATAATGAGTTTGTATTATATAATTTATTATTGATATATGCAGTTTTGATATATCTTCCTTTTGTTCCAACTCATAACTCCCATCCATCCCAACATTTAAATATTAGACTTGCTATTATGTTGCTTTTGACTCTATATATGATTCATTATATTTTTTGAAGACATAATGATCTCTAGTTGTAGCTACCATGGATGGTTGTGATAGCTATGGCAGTTATAGGTGGCTGTGATGACTCACTTCATATTGCATATAGGTCATTTTCCCTTTTCTAGTTAGTTAAGTGTTTAGGAGGATACTATTATAAATTTTTTAACAGTACTTGGTGGATACTTAAGGTTGAGCATCTTTGGATTTGAGTAGTATAATATATTTGAAAACTCAAATTCAGGAACTTACACTGAACAACATTGGAAATCTAAAGCTATATGTTAAACCACCTCGAGTAACAAATGAATGCTTTTGAACATATCTTGGATGTAGCTTAAATTTTGTATAATGTACTTTATCTCTTTCCCCTTAAACCAACTGAAAATGGTGCAATTGCTTGATATTAATGGTTATTTTATCTTTATTTATCCCCTAAGGTTTTAAAAATCTATAGTAATAGTATATTTAAATCTCATCCCATGATCATACATACTACATTTACATCCCCTTTACATATGTCATTATCTTCATTAATTATTGACTAAAAACCCTATTAAGTTAAGATGAATTAAAACTTCCACTTTCACACTAAATCTATCAATCCTCCCATTATAAATAAATTATTATATGTAAAGTAACTAGTTATCCACTTGTACTGCAGTCTTATGGTAAATACCTTTATTTGTGGATACCTTATAAAACAAAGTATGTAGTCATATATGATTTCAATTGTAGGGGTAAGATTCCCACTTGATAAGTGGCTACTTAAAATTTAACTACCCTCATATAAAACACACTTCCTTTAAAACAAATTTAAAAAAATACAATTGTTTAATAAAAGAGCCTTTAAAAATTATTTTATCCCCATTTATTCCCTAAAGTTCCAAAAATCCATATATTCAAATATTATATGTGCTACATCTCACCATAGCTATTTGTCCTAATGTGTGGTGCTCAAATCAATACTATACATACACCCACTCATTGACACTGAATGTGCAAAACTAGCACTTTTGATCAGTGTAGAACTTCATTCACTGGCCAGGTTATGTTTCTTCCAGGTGGCCCTTGACCTCTGACTAAGAGACTGCTACATCCTGTAGGAAAAGGAATTGTTCCTAGACTCTGCAGCCATATAGATGTACAGTGTCATGCTGATTGCAGAGGATTCAATCATAATGTAAGCAAACTAGGCATGATATCAGCTTGTCCACACAGAAAGCTCACCTCAAGCATTTGGTTTGTTCATTGAGTTTGCCTGTCACTCTGTGGGTGGTAGGTATGCAAAAAACTAAACTTTGTCCTAAGTAGCTTCCACAATGATGTCCAGAACAAGCTAAGGAGGGTCTTTGTCAAAGACTATCTCCCTTGGGATCCCATGGAAATGGCCCACTTCCACCAAGAAAGCTCAGCTTTTCAACTATAGCCTTGGAGGAGAGGGGAAAAAATCATGCCACCTTTGTGAACTTGTGAGTTTTATATTGTTTATTAAGCATGTGAATATAAAATTTGCTCAAGAAAATAATACAGCTCATTAAAGCGTTCTCAAAATATGCTTACTATATCTTGCAAAATGATTTAGATAAAACATATATTTTTTGGGAATAACAAATTACAATAGTAAAATTATCATCGTATTGACATTAAGAAAGGCGAATAAGTTTTTTTTACTAATTTTGATTTATTATAAAACTTTTCATGGAGTCTATCCCAAAAGAGCTTTAGGTGTGGAAAAATACTATGTAATATATGTTGATCCTGATGTACAAAAAGATTAACAAACTCTCCAGATTAGTCATAAAACACCAAATAGTTACTGTTTGAGCTGTAAGAATGATGGAGTATACACCTTTAATTTCTTTATTCTAGGCTAAAAGATGGTGAAGAATATATCAAGATGCTTGTTAATATTTGTAACAGTTTTCTCTTCTCCAATCTCCTCACAAATAATAATGTGAACAAGCTTAATCACCTAGAAAAACAAATCTATAAATAACACAATTTAATGTTGGTTGATCCAAATTTCCAATACTACAATATTAAAGTGTACTACAAGAATTTATTTATAACTTTGTAACTTGAGTCTGCACCACTTCTACAACAAAAGCAATTTGGAAAACTTTTACTATGCTCAAGAATTAACTTTGAATAATTTATTTTGTATGTAAGAATTGAAATCCAGAAGTTTGTGTAATAATGGAACAATGTTCTTGCATGGAGATCTCAATGAAGAAATCTTTGTCCAGCAACCAGAGGGTTCCGGGAACATCAAATGCTTTGTCATACACTGCCCGTGTTAACACAACTCAATTTGAATGATATAGCAAGTGTTTTTCATTCTTTTGTTTCCACATGTGAGAAAGCCGTTTTCTTTCATGGCTGTTTATCATGACGTTCTAACCTTTGCTGCCCATGTTAACACAACTCAGTTTGAATAGATATAACAAGTGTTTTAACCTTTCTTTAGTAATTCACACTGTTATTTGTACAGTTTCTAAACAGCAGAAGAATATGAAACATCAATCGCCATGCTTATTATTTTCCGGAGGACCAGACTGACGGCCCTGTCTTGGTATTTCTATGTTACACGAGCTCTAGCAAAAAGTCTTTTCCGAAAAAGTAATGCTATTTACCAAGACGTGATTCCTGGAGAAAAGATACGATCAATTCTAGGATACAAATCCAAGTAAGAAACTGTGACTTACATGGTGGTATTCACGAGACACAGATTAAGTTTGTTTTGTGTTGTTCGACAAAATCACGAAGAACACGCTTCAAGGATCGGCCACCGTTTCCGCCTCTTTGTCTGATCGAGTTACCTGCATCCACATCTGATGCTGCGGCCCTAAGAGCTTCCAGCCATGTCACAGACAGGCGCTCCGCTTCACCATGTCTCAAGTACTCGGCCGGAAGTGCTTGAATCTGGAACGAAAAGTATGATTCTCTGGGAGATGTGGATAGCTATCTTACGGCGGAGACTATCCAGCACTGAAGGGCACTCCATCCGATTCTGGAGCTCCCACTGTTGCATATAGCTGCCAGTTGTTGGAGTATTGTCGTCGCTTTGTACACCTGGTGAAAGAAAAACAAAATAGATGGAATGTTTGCAGGAAAGTGAGAAGATGAATTTACCCGTGACATAGCAGAGGGTCCAAGTAATGCATACAGCATCCCCGAAACAATACTTTCTCCGCATTGTGTGCATATTTTCAAGACCGCGGCTGTTAACGGGCAGTCTACGCTCTCCGTGAGTGATGACAGCGCCATCTCCAACAAGCCTGCGAGTAGAAAATCGTTTTGAGCAAGAACAACAAAGGAGCACGACGTACATGAGATGTAGGACATGGCTGCCAGTGCAGCTCCACGGTGCATCACCGTGCAACAAATAGTTGCTCTATTTAGAGCTGCTTCTACGTGCGATTCTGCAGTCGCTAGAACACCCTGTCCAAAAATCAGATCAGCGTCAGGTGATTTACTACGAGAAAAGGATAAGACTTGCCTTGTGACAGTTGCGAAGAAAAGTGGACATAAAGTTCATATACGCTTCCGCCACGTCAGGCTCGTTGTCACAAGCGTAGGATGAGCTTAATGCCGCCACCGAGTCCGCAGTACTAAATACTCCCGCTACTTCAACGAACAACGGGGCATACTCTTTCTGATGACCGTGTTCTTCCGTTAAAGTATTAGCTGCAAAGAGCCAGAGGCAAGAGTGATCAAGTAAACGAAACAAATTCCCTTACCAAGTTTGAGAAAGCAGACATGGGTTTGAAAAGAAACGAAGTTCTCACTCGAAAATTTTGTAATGTTTGGCAGCAACGGTAGTATGCATTGTCCTGTGCATTTCAAAAGAGCAATCAATACAACGAACGAGAAAACTTTTAACGCTACCTCCGGTCTTTGTGGCCTCGGAGAGGCATTTGCATACTGCAGTTGCTAAACTGTTGTTCTCCATGAAGGCGGATGAGAACATTTGTTCCAACAAAGGCCAAAACTGTGATAAAATTCCTACGAAAACTTCCTCACCAATCACGGACGAGGAGCTAAGCACAGGGAATTGACTGAAAATTGTACCGAGCCTAGAAAACAGCAGACAAAGCTAGTTAGATTCCATCAAGCTAAAAAACATTTGTACCTATGCAGAGCTCGAACACTGGACTCCAGCAGCATTGCACTTTCAGCCGAGACAAATTTCAGCCGATTCTCAACATCAGCTATCAACTAGCACAAAAGTAATTGGTGTTAGATATGTGGCGGTGTGTCTCGAAACTCACAAGTTCTTTCAAAGGGTCATATGTAGGCTTCAAAAGCCTGTGCAATGCATCATTTAAAACTGCACTGCTTGTGACCGTGGACAAGGAGCGCCCAATAGCACATAAAACCTCCTCCTCCTCCTTGGGAGACAACTTAAAATTGTGCAAGCCCTGAAAAGAAAAGCTGATTAAAGCTAGTGCCTGGCAATCTTATTACCTCTCCAATCCAGAGAAGACACTCCAGATTAGCGGGGTCACTCGCCATTGCAGAAACCTCTTCACATATTCGCCTTAACGCAGTTGCGCATGCACTTGCCGCCAATGGTGCACTGAGCCCCGAGGCTAAAAAGGATCTGTAACAAACTCAAAGTTAGAAGTCAAGAAATAGATGTAAATAACCAACAATAATGGCAAAACTACAGTTGGATGGTTGCAGATCCAACGAGAAAATGCTCCAAGAACTTGAGCGGCGGATTTATACAGCTGAACAGTTTCAACGTTAGTGACGACATCACAAAGCAGGAAAGAAATACCAGGTCCAATCCAGCTACCGTCTCCGGCCTTTCCTCACTTATGGCTAGGAAAACATTTACAAGGCTGGAAAGATCCAATGCTGGTCCGTCCAAAATAGCTTCGGAGGCCTGGATACAGTAGTATATGAAACGGATCCACTCGAAAGAAACAAAAACACTCTTACAGCATAGAGCAAAAAGAATTGTGCCTCTATAACTTGCCACAAAACTGGGAGTTCTAAAGTAATTTGACTGAGAAGCTGCAAAACCCATAACATAAGCAAGATACCGGAACGACAAACTAACAAACCTGAGTTACGTACTGAGTTGGTCCTAGGAGTCGGCAAACAGTGGTTGTTGTTTCCTCCAGATTTATTCGAAATTGTGCTAAACTGTCGGGCAAGCCAGTACTCCCATCAATATCATCTTCATTATATGATTTCGGACCGACCTGGCGCAACAAAACGTTAAGATATTGAATGAGCGCCAAAGCTATACCTGAACTCGCAAAACAAGCGCGTCTAATAAAGAAATATAGAGCGGAATATATGCCCTCAAGCCGCTTTGTTTCTCAAAACCCAGGTTAATCAAATAATCACCAAGAGCGGACCTGCAAAGGAGCTTCAAAGAAATTACGTCGGTAGACTATTTCCTCTGCTGGTATTACCAGAACGAAAGGCTTGTTTCAGCTACCTCCCAATTTGAGCTTTGAAACCGAGTACATCTGCGAAGCTTCGACCAGTTAAAACCTATAAAGCATAAACACTTACCCCAACATCGCCTCCTCAAGAGACAAAACATCAGGTGTTCCTCGTGCAAACAATCCTGGTGCCTATAATAGAAAGTCGTCGAAACAGCGAAGATGGGAATAACTTACAGATTGCCCGAGCTCGGCCATCAACCAGCAGAGGCCTTTGACAACAACTTCGTTACCAGTTGCAAGGGCCGGCAAAAGCAACGTATCTTTCACTACGATCATCTGCAGCAGAACCGCTGGCGGTATAACCTGAACGGAAGAATTATGAAAGGCACTTGCAACAAAAAATTTGTATACCTCGTGCCGATTAATAAGCTCCGCAAGAACCTCAATGGCAACCGAAAAGGATTCAGGAACCTGCGAGTTATCATCATAGGCCGTCACATTGCAATCTTATACCTGGAGGCAAGCAAATGCAAAAGCAATAAGAGGATGGCTAGGAACTGCAAGCTGATCAATTTCCAATAAACACCCAATGCGCACCTGTTTTGACGGTCACGATCAGCTCTAGCATGAGACATTTTGACCGATATTACCCAGCTTAGAAAACAGCGCAATATTTTGCTCCTTACAGTGTAAAAATGCGCTTCATTCTCAGTGAGATGTACCAAGAACTTCAGCACAGAAGAAGAATGCGAAAGTAGCTGTTCCATATCAACGAAACAATGGTTGGAGGAAACTGAAAGAGAGATGGAGAGACATACCTCGTTACTGAATTGCCTCCTGTGATCTGAATTAACGTTGGCAACGATAGTCTTTTCCTCCGTGACTTCCTCTGGAAGCACTGTAAGAAGCTCCAGCACAGCATGGCTCCCGCTGCCTTGGCATTGCAACTCATACAAGCGACCAAACAGCTGCTGTATTAGACTCCGAGCCTCTGGCGATCGAAAAATCAGCGCAGATAGCGCAAGGCAAATTTGAGTCAGCAGCTGTAAAGACAAGAACACTTCAAGAGAGGAACGAAAGAAGAAAAACAAACCTGCGAGGGTCCCGAGCTGTGCTTGGTTGCCGACACAAGCAGCGCATTTTGCAATGCGCGCCTCCCATCAGGCAACAGCGTCCCAATGTCACTGTGAATCTACAACCAAAACCGCGATGGAAAAATTCCACTCTGTTCTTCTACTCTAGCTAGCATACCTTTCTCTTGAGAATCTGTGCGGCAAACAATTCCACCTCGAAATCGTGTATGTTAAGCGCCTCCGCTGTGAGAATTCCCGTGGCGACCTGCCAGGCAGCGTCCGTCTGCTGGAACTGGACGAGCCATTGATTCGCAGCGACTCTGTTGCAAGACAGCATGTCGTGATTCAGGACATGGACTGCTTGAACGAGCTGCATTTGGAGCTCCATCGCCACTGCCACTCCGCTACCTCGATCTATTCCACCGATTCATACTCCCGGGCGCTCGCGGGAGCTAGATTCCATGCAATGCGCTGCGAACTCCTCACCCTTGCACCGCTGCATGGCTCCGCGCCATCGCCACAAACCCTAGCTATAGAAGAACCCTAGTTAACTTTAAAAATATTTCCCATTTGTAGTTACGACAAAACTGGCCAGACTTCCCCCAAGCTATATAATTTATTCCCACCTCGTGGATCGTTCTTCATAGAAAATCTTCGCTCGCTGGATCACTCCTCTAGATAGAGAACTGTTCTTCTAGATCAATGCGACTAGAATTCTCTCTGATCAAAGGGACGATCTTCTCCAAAACTTTACCACGACCACTGCGGCCAGCGTCGTCAATCCCATTGCCGCAGCCGCGGCCGAGGCCAGCCCCGCGCTGCTCGTTCTCATGTTTCTCAGCGCAGCCTTAAACCTCGCCTTTGCGCTCTTCTTCTTGCTCGAGCTATACTTCTCGTGCATGAGATTGCTCAGCATGTCCAGCTGATTGGCCAAGTGCCGCTGGCCTCGCGAAAGAATTTTGATCTGGAAGAAAGCACGCTAAGTCCAGGACCATGAAACCATCCAAGTAGACAAACTTACCTCTTCTAGAATGTAGGCCTCGGAGCTAGATTGCAGTAGAGGCACGGAGGGAGATGAGTGCCCGTTTGCGTTCCCGTTTGCGAGAAACGCTGAGGGACCATTGCTTCCAAACGAGCCTACGAACGCCGAATTCTGCCTTTGGATCGACACGCTGGTGGTCACGGCCGCTGGTAGCTTCGATTCCAGCTCTACTAACCGGGACAACACCTCGTCTAAGCGCTCGTTTATGCTAGCCATTTGTTCCGAGACACGTACTTGATCCTGAAACCAAGTCAGTCGAGCTTGAGAAGAAAACTTGTGAGACATTCAGTTACCTGATCGTCTACTATGTGGGACTGAGGCTCGGGTTCCTCCTTCTTCCCATTGGCCTCTATCCACAGATGTTGGGACTTCTTACCATTATGTCCTTTACGCGACATAAAAAGAGGTTCTCTGCGAAAGACTCGGCTTGAGATAATGAGCATTCCAGTGTCGTAGAATTTTACCTGGGGATGTCTTTGTTGCTACTATTGCGGGTCCAGCTGCATAGAAATTTAAACACAGCAAAGATACCATCGACTGTCATTCGCTACCTTTGACTGTAAAGAGTACGAATGCCGGGCTTTGTTTCTGCCAACCAGGAGAACGAAGGCGTTGGGCTAGGTAACAGTGTATCGTTGCTTAGCTTTTCCTTCAAATCTTCAGGCAAAGCCTACCCCAGGAAAAGTAAGAAACAAACATAGAAAGAACACAGATCTTCCTCACCATTTCTGAATTTAGCTTTTCGAGTTGAATCTGCTCGATATAAGAGCATGGAACATAGTGATTGTCAAGCCCGAGCTTGCTTCCACAATCGGACACCACAGACCTCTCCTTCCCTTGCACCTAAATGAACATTTAATGAGATCAATGTGATGAAATTTATGTAGTCTAACCTGTACGTATTTTCGCTGGAACTGTTCAAGTCGGTCAAGTTTTACTGTTACTTTCTCATCCGAAAAGACATGACTAATCCTCTTCAAAATTGTCGCCATTTCATACCCCAAGGCCATCAACCCGCCGAGAAGACGTACACTTACTTCGAAAGTGATGCGCGGCGATATGATAAAAGGCTCGTCGATTACCCATTCCTACCAGCAGGTAGAACGTCAACAAGAGCCTTCGACTCCTAGACGTACGTACCTCAAACATGAGACTATACTTTCCGTCTCTATTCCTCATTCGCAAATATGACTGACATGTTTCAGGGTCTTCGCCAGGCGGCAGTAAATAAATGTCATATATTTCTTCGATAGTTTCAGTGTGATCATTCGACAAAACGTTCCGTATTTGCTCTTCCGTTACAGATCTGGAAGACTGACGAAAGCTTCCAGATAATTAGCATGGAAATATAACCGACAGGGACAAACCTTGAGAATATATGTCGCGTTTTGAAATCCAGAAAACGGGTTGAATTTATTTACAATCTTGATATGCGCTGTCTCGAGGTCGGGTTCTATAAACGCTTTGTACATGGGGTAGACCTGAGATCAAGAGGACATAGATACTCGTGAATAAACTCATAGCCAGACTTTGTACGCAAGAAATCTTACTGTCTCGGATATCTGATGTATGATATCCTCGGGCTCTTGACCAGATCTGTTTATGTCACGTAAGACCCTCTTTACGAGATCAAAGTGCACTCCTCCAGTGATTGATACCCGCAAGTCAAGAAGAGGCCTGAGTTTCTCACTCAACGCGTAAATTCCCTCAACGATCACAATTCGAGAAGAAGGGACATCAAGCTTCCTGGAATGCTTCGTTTTACAATAGCAACTCCGAAAAAACTTACCTGTATCCCACTCTCTTGCTGATCTTAAAGTCATATATAGGAACTTCCACCGAATTTCCAGCTCGAAGGTTCTGAAGATTGTCGAGCAATGTGTCATAGTCAGTGAGCCGAGGATCTGCAACGACATAAAAAAAGGTTTAGACAAAAGAAAGAGAGAAAGAAGCTCAGACCATCGTAGTTCCCATCTATAACTCTGCTGGAGTCGTTGTAATTGTCCATAGAAATCGTACCAATCCCCGGCATGAAGCTCCCAACTTTCTCAGAGAAGACCGTCTTGCCAGCACCAGATGGTCCGGCTAGGCCAACCAAAATCACCCCTTCCATGTTTTGAGCTAGAAGCTGGCATGCTCGGATGAAAAGGAAAAACCCCTTCTCGAAAGAGAGTGAATCGGCAATCGGCGCTACCTCGTATCGATCACAATCTTTCCGCCTCACGAGACAAAGCTGGTGCTTCAAGAGCCCACATTTCCGCCGATGCGACGCCGACATTTTCTTCGAATCCATCACGGAAAGCGCCCACGGACAGCGCCGGCGCGAGGGAGCGACTGCTACGAATCAAAGTAGAAGCCTTTGCCCAAAGCGGGATCGAAATCTTCCACCACTGGGAAGAAAATAACTCCACCCATTATTTTCATCGTTCTTTTCTAGCTACCTGTCAAAAAAAGTCTTTAGAATCCAAACAGGACGAGAATAAGATCGCGCATTCGATCCGTGAGAGCGCCATACCTGAAATCCTGGCCCGCTGGAGCTCAAATGAATCGAATTTCGATGCGCCGGGATCGCGACGACGCGAAGATCGAAGCGATCGAAGCCCTGAATTTGGCGGCGATCGCCACTGACCTGACCGCCCTAGCGCAAAAGAATTCCTTCCACTCGCGCACACCGTGCCCTCACCACGAGTTTATATACCAGCACGCTTAATTAACCCTAAACCTGCCAAAATAGGGGGAAATTTCCCTTCCCGCGTCTTTGTACCGTAGGATGGTGCATCTTGAAACAAATGGGATGCTGCCACGTGTCCACCAATCATGACAGTACGATGAAAGATTCCTGCGCCCATCCTAGCCGTCGAGGGGGCCGATGGAATATTTACATCATGTTTACAAAGGCAAAGGCCACTATGAAGTGAAAGCTACGCATGAGATTCGGGCCTTGGACTTTGCGGTTGGAGCTTTTGAGCTAGACGTTAAAAAAAGAGCTTCCATGAATGCCAGGAACAAAAAGAGAGAAGAGACAAAAAAAAATCTCGAGAGAAGTTTGCGAGGGATACAAGCGTTAGAAGCGATCGAGAAAGTGATTTAGACTGCGAGAGATTCAAGCGTTAGAAACGATCGAGAAAGACAGACAACGCAAAAAATACTTACTTTGGCCGAGGCGATTCATCAGCCTTGTGGTCTCCGTGACTCCACGAAAGGGGCGCCTGAGAGTGTGAGCTAGCGCGACCATGATCGTGAAGAGCGTGAGAGCTCCAGCTTGGTGAGCAACACCGGCGTGTACTGGGACGTAACTCAGCAGTGCGTAGACTCCGAGACTAACCTGTTAAGTTCGAGTTTGCGAAGTTAAATCTAGGAAAAGATGATTTTCAAACCTGGAGAAGTGTCATGTGAACCGCGCCTGTGATGAGTTTGCTCGCCGGTCCTGGCAATGCGAGGCCTCTCGAGGCCAGCCAGACGGCCCCGATGCTCAGCAAAGTCGTCGTCGCAAGAACACGATGGTTGAACTGTTGAAAACAAGGTGCTAGGAAAGAAGAGGCAAAGAATATAGTATTGGAAAAGCTTGGCGTTTACCTGCACGGTTGCGGTATTCTCGAAGAAATTCTTTATAGTTGGCTGAAGTGCAAGAATGCCCTCGGGAATCCAATCATCTCCCATTTTCGGAAAAGTGTTGAATGCGCGTCCCTGTACAGAAGTATTTTTCTCGGTCATGTCATTGAACTGTGAACTTTACCGCATCGTTTCCTGCGACGAAGGCCCCGGACAAGGCAGTCAGTCCAACCAGCCCGGAAACTGGAAGCACCAAGCGTCTCATCCTCGCCATTGATTGCAGCACCACTTGCGGGAGATGTGGCGATGGTGGTGAGGGAGAAGCCACAGAGAGTGCTGTCCAAAGTAATCCAGAGTATATCACGAACGCTGATGCCAAGTGCGTAGCAAGGCGATACGGGCTCACTCTTGCGTGACCTCCTTCAGTAGCAGGCTCCTAAGAGAGATAAAAGTTTGCAGGAAAAAGGAGGACAGAACCGCAGTACCTCAAGGCCGCTTTTAACCATCCACCAGCCAACGAGTCCCTGTCCAGCACCCATAGCAAGAAGCACACCAAGTCGAGCTCCAAGTTCCCTGGTGATGTAGCCTTTGACGAGAAAATAGCCGAAGGGGAGCGCAAACACAACACCAAGTGCTCTACCGGACATCCGGTGCGCGTACTCCATCCAGTAGATAAACTTGAACTCGTCCAAGCTCATTCCCTTGTTAACTCTGCAGGACAAAACATACATGAGCGCTACTATATGAATCAAAGCAAGAAGAGAACCAGTTAACTTACGTCCTGTATTCGGGCGACTGTCTGTACTTATCGAATTCCTTCTCCCATTCTTCGGCCGACAAAGGAGGCAGACTCCCTGTAAATTTCCAGTCCGTCATGGATAACCCCGATCTCGTCAGCCGGGTCATTCCTCCAAGAACAACCATGCCGAACACCCAACCGGAGCACACGTACAGCCACCTTGACACGGCCTTTTGAGCAACGTTGCCACCGGAAACAAGCTCTTTCGTGCCCAAGCTTACTGCGCCAGTGGAAAGCGGGCATCCAAACAGCTGAAACGCAAAGAAAAAAATCAGTAAAAGTAATGTTTGGAGTTTGGAAGAAGCTGGAAAGCAAAAGCAGCAGAGTATAAGAGATCTTACAAGCAAAGTGTCACAAAACAAACAGGAATCCTGGAGTTTGGAAGAGCTGGAGCTGGAGTATAAAAGATCTTACAAGCAAAGTGTCACAAAACAAACAAGAATATAAACACAAGAAGGACGATCTTTGCGAATGCATACAAAATGAATTGCCATGAGGTTTTGAGGAATCGAGGTGGGCATAACCATGCGAAAGCACACAAGAAATGACTAGCAAAAAGCATGCACAAAAAAATAGATTCCGAGCATAGAAAAATATCATCTCTAGACAAAGGGGGAAAGAATTACCTTATAGGGTGCTCGCGGAAGAACTCCACGGGGCACAATCCTCTCAGCAAGCCCCTGACAAACACCGAGAATGAATAAGCGGGATCAATGTATCTCCGAATCGATAAACCTTGTGCTGCGAGAGACCATTCCCGCCGTGAAACGCTGCATAGCCAGCGCCAGTGCCGAGCGGCGATCGTCGCGCGAGATTTCGATCCACCGCATTCTTGATCAGGCGGCGCAACATTGCCGCCTTTGCGAGAGAGAAAAGCACGCACGACCTACTTCTTTCTTAACATGGGGTTTACCTGTCCTCTGGGGTTTAAGCGGCACTCTTTCCCCTTTTAGGGTTCTTGGGCGTCCTCCAGGTGAGAATAGCCATGGCTGGATCGGCCACTGCATTCTCAAAGATTTCCTTCGCTTCTAGTTGCTCCTTGCTGGAATCCTTGCGCGCCAGGCATCTACCGCGTGGATTGGGGCAATTCGGCTGCGCATCGCGTAATCTTAAGGTTCTCACCGATAGGTTGTGCGTCGATTGGGATTTCCGGTCACGGAGCATGCTGATCTGTGAGAATGCAGCTAAGGAATCGAGCGATGGCTACCACGGCATCTAAGGAATCGGCGGAGAATAATCCCGGCTTGAGTGAATCACCGGATGAGGCAACCAAAGGCTATATCGTGCAGCAAACTGTGAGTGCCACGTTTTTTCACTTTTGTCCATTGCTACATTCTCTTTCTTGTCTAAAAGCTTCCATCCTTTATATCGTTCATCTTTATAGATGTATCGGATCAAGGATCCAAAAGCGAGCTTGGATTTCTACTCGCGCGTCCTTGGAATGACGTAAGTACTTTGATCTGGATAGTTTGTACTGACAAAAACTTTCGAATCTCAGGCTTTTGAAAAGGCTAGACTTCCCGGATTCGAAGTTCTCGCTATACTTCGTAGGATACGAGGTCCTCGAAGTGTTGGACTTAGCACAATGAAAGTTTCTTTTTCTTTCTTTGATGCAGGATTCGGCCGAGGCTCCAAAAGACCCGATCGAGCGTGTTCGCTGGACTTTCAGGAGGAAAGCAACCATAGAACTGACACAGTACGTAATGTTGGAGAGATTGTTTTCTTCTAATCGTATGTGTTGGGCATTGTAGCAACTGGGGGACTGAGACGGATCCAGAGTTTAAAGGCTACCACAATGGAAATGCTGATCCTCGCGGCTATGGTAGACCCCGAATCTCTCTTTCACTTTTCTTCTTTCTCTCAAAAGGGAAAACCTTGTGATCTTGTAAAGGGCACATTGGAATCTCTGTGGACGACACCTACAGGGCTTGCGAGAGATTCGAGAAACTTGGCGTGGAGTTTGTGAAGAAACCGGACGATGGTACGTGAAAAAACTAGAATCGCGTTCGCTGGTATTCATGGAAATCTCTTTTTCTTGACAGGATCAATGAAGGGTCTAGCGTTCATCAAGGATCCAGATGGTTACTGGATTGAAATTTTCGACGCTGGTAGAATCGGTGGTATTGTAGCTGGATCGGCGTGATCGAATCAAAGAATGCGATCTATAGAGTAACGATCGTGGCAGAGCTTTAAATGCTGCTAATAAACGGTCAGTTATATAATAATTCGCGAATATTCGATTTCATAGCTCTTCCATTCCATTGTTCACACGAAGCGAATGATGATGCTGCGCCTTGGCGATATTATTGACTGTCGCGACGGTCGATTGGATCGCGCGCGCCCCTCGATCGATCGTTCCCGCTCCAGCTCCACGATCTTCCAGCGCCACGCCCCGGATTGATTCGCGCGCCGGTGAGCGATTTGAATCGCGCGCAGCAAGAGCCCTAGTCCAGGGTTTAGGAAGGTGAGCTAACTGTGATGGATCGTTCCTCGTGAATCACATCGGCTAATCGAATCGGTCATCGTCATGGAAGATGTGAGAGGATTTGTCGCGTCGCAGCATTGGCACCGGCAAAGGTCTGTTTGTTCTATAAGCTTTGGCCTCTAGCTAAGCCATAGCTCTCTATTTTTTTCAGTGAACCATATGAAAGGTATGTTTCCTGGCGTCACAGCGTTGGACAAGGATGGCACCCTGGACCAGCGTACGAAGGAATCCTCGCCAGTAAGTTCTTTCCTTGGAGACTTTAAAGCCTTTTGGCTTTGACATACTGGGAGTTAGCAGAGACATTGTTTTTGCTTGCGCTCGTGTCAGAGGGATAATTCTTGTGAGCTGCAACACAGAAAAATGCGAAAAGCATTCTCCGACGCTGTCTTGAGATATGGCCGGTGATTGATTTAGCTGCCTGGATTTGTTTGGAAACTTTAGAACTGATTTCTCCTTTTGTTAATTTTTTTCCAGGAGTGATATGGACAACGAGAACATGGGATTTCTTGAGAGGTCCAAGATGGTGGAGGTTACTGTTCCAGCTCTGGATAGCAGTGGAATGAATGCCACTCGCGCTGGAACAAAGTCTCTCACTCGCTCTCGGACGCTGCTCATCACTCCCACTGGCCAGTGCACACCTGTTTTGGAGGATGACTTGGAGTTCGATTTGGAAGCCAAGCATGCGGAATTCTCTTTGCCGAGGGAGCGCGAGAACAAGGTCCCTGAGGAGTCATCGCTCGGGAAGTTTAGAGGCTCTGTCAAGTATGTGCTGCTGCAAAGTCTCCTCTGGCTCAAAGATCAAACGAAGGAAAAGGAAGTTAATGCCACTGAGGTAAGCACTCTCTATGTCTTCTGGATGTGGAATCGTTTGTTTCTTTTTCTCTGTGGAAAGGATGTTCTTGCCAGATACCACAATCTGTACCTATACGGCACTGTTCCATTGACAATCAAAGTGAGAACAGCGATTCGCAGTGGTACTCTCGGCCATATTCTACTCTGTGTAAGCTAAACATTCTGTAGCAATTGTCTGATAATTCCTTGATACGCAGATAGAATTCATTGCAGCAGTTGTATCTGTTGTTGCTTATGTGCGATCGACGTAAGTCGGTTAATCCTTCAAACTTGACAGCTTTATCCTGTTTCATTAGCTATATACTCTCGTCGACTCATTGGATTGTGATCGTGAGGCGAGTTTTTGGTCTTTTCTTCGTCGCAGATTATCTCTTAAAGCTCTATAGGTATCATGCTACAGAAATCCTGGATTATGGATTATTACTAACATATTTGTGCAGCGCTCCTGTCCGACTGTACTACGTTATATCCGTAAGTGGCCTCATCGACCTCAGCAGCACCTTGTCAATTGTTTGCCTCTGGAGGTTGGTTTTGTCAAGGAAGAACATCTGCAACTGATTCGTTCAATTATGCTTGCAGCAAATTTAAGAACGATGGTGCTATCCCTCAAATGCTACTGGTCCTTCGAGCCTTGAGGTTAGCGTATGCTTTTATTTTAAACATCTGTAATGTAGAGTATATGTGTTTTCTATTGTTCAGGATTCTACCTTCCCTCACTTCGTTTGTGATCGTCGGTGGTACAATTGGCCAGCAAATTTTTCTTCTCGTAATGTACACACTCGGTGCTGGTAGGTTCAAGCTAAGTTCTTTCAAAATCTCTTCTTTATTTGCATGCAGTTTTTATTGCCGCTGGCATACTTCAGTGGGTGGAATATAAAACTACATCGGCGGATAAGAAAATACAGCAAGGTTGTGGTGTCTCGGGATGTTTTACCTTTTATGATGCTTTTTATTTTGTGATTGTGACGGTAAGAAGTTTAGTTCATTGTTTTTCACTTGAGTTTCTTTTCTAGATTACCACCGTTGGGTATGGAGACTTCACGCCAAAGTCAAACTGGGGACGGCTAATTACTCTCACTATCATGCTTGCTGCTGTACTTATTCTTCCAGTGCAAATCAACAGAATTCTACAGCTTGCCTCTCGCAGGTATGTTGTCGAGTTAATTAACTCACTCATCATCGTTTTATGCAGACCTTATGGAGGAAGATTTACGATGCAAAAGGCGGTTGGGTCTAACTTTATCGTCATCAGCGGAAATGTATCCCTTCAAACAATTCGGCACTTCCTAGCTGGATTCTATCATCCTAACCACGATAAAGGTAAGTAAGGTGATGCAGTGATGTTCTCATTTTTTATTTTTTTGCGAATAGACATGGCAGCGTTTCCTATTCGAGTTGTTATCATGGCACCTTTCAAACCTTCGTATGTGCGCTGGTGAATATTATGTTTCTAATTATCAAGCTTTGCAGGTATGAGATGAAGACACTTCTGACGCATTACCGAGGACGAGTCAACTTCATTGAAGGAACTCCTATAAAAGAGTCCGATTTAGATCGTGTTTGTGCTACTTTTGCAACAGCGGTATTCTTACTTGCGGATGAGCATGCGAAGGTGCAGGCAATCACTATAATTCTTGGCACTGACCATGAAACCACTCTCAGGATTTTGATGCGGAAGACGCGGCTCAAATAACCCGGACTCTTTCCGTTCATCGTCATTGTGGTTCGAAGGTGAGAGTGATCGTGGAGCTGCTAAAACCTGAAAACTACAATAATGCTATTTGGGATGAAACTGAGGCTGGTATTGAAATTATTTGTCCTGAGGCAGTCCGCTTTCAACTTTTAGCTCGAAGGTACAGTCTGAGCTTTACCTCAAAGCATGACTCTTGTTTTCGTTTCAGCTGTCTTATTCAGGGGTTTTCAACTCTTGTAATCAACCTTTTTCGTTCGGGGTTATTGCTGAGACATTCACACGCTGACCACTGGATGACAGAGTACTGCTATGGTGTTCGGCAGGAGATCTTTCCAGCTATATTACCGGCTTGCTTTTTCGAAGAGAAACTGACTTTTGAAGAGGTTTGTACAGATAACTTTGAACTTCACATAGTGATCTTTTCTTTCAGGCGGCTGAAATTGTGTACCTCAAGTACCATGCAGTTCTTATTGGCCTTGACATTATACTTGAAAATAAGCTCCGTGTAGTGCGACTCTATCCACGGGGCCGTAGAATTAAGCCATCCGACCTTGGCTTGGTCATTGCGAAGGACTTAGAGATGGCGGAACGTATTTCAGAATACGGTAAAGCACGCCGAAGATCATCTGGTAAATTTAAGCATGAAGAAGACCACGGGATTCTTAGAAGCGTGAAGGGAAGCCGGCAGGACGTGGAAACTGGCTTTAAAAGCAGGGATAGGGGGCGACGGACCAAGAGGACGACAACTGACGACCATTTGTATGACGACAAAAAGGATTCCACCAGGCCAGGTACAAGAACGGATTTTCAAGGCCATTTTCGTCCCTTCTACTCGTCTATCGATTCGGTTGAAGAAGAAGGCCACTCAAAAGTAAAGTTCGTTGCTTCGCTGGAGGAAGCCATAGATATGGCAATGAGTTGGCCACCTTTGAGGAAGTGGGATAAGCCCGAGCGACCGGTTTTGGAAAGAAGGGAAGACACGATACTGGAAAACCTGCGGGAGAAGACGATAAACGTAGTGGTTTTATCCTTTCCTCACATTCTACTGTGCATCGAAGGAAACTGGCCACTAAATCTCTTCTACTTCATCTGCAACTTACGGATTCCAACGATGCCGCAGATGCCACTTGTGATCATGCACCCAAGCACACCGACTGCCGCGGACTGGGGATGCGTGGGATTGTTTGTGGACGTCTACTTTGTGAAAGGCTCGGCTTTGTACGAGCTAGACTTGGTTCGTGCTGGAGTTTTGCAAGCGGGTAAGATTTCGTCTCTGCTAAAGGTATTCGATTTAACTCGTTTTAATCTAGCAGAGAAGGTGGTAATCCTCACGCAAGGCTTCGAGGACGACTTCCAACCAGTTGACGACGCAGCAGGAGCTGTGTCGCCTACAGTGAACACTCTGGACGTGAAGAACATCGTCATAACTGCGAACGTCGAGCGCCTTCTAAGCCCGGCCAGAAACCGTGTGCTGGTTGAACTCCAACAAGAGATCCAGCTGCAATTCCTCCGACCACATTCCCGGAACCACACCGTGCAATTCCAGCCAAAAACGTTGCAAAGAGACCGTGACGCGAGGTTACAGTTTGCACCACCATTCGCCGAAGGCAAGGGACTTTGCCCGGCAGCATTCACATTCCTAACGTAAGTCCTCCTTTTCTCGAGAATACTTTCTGAGTCTTCATGGATCCTCAGGTACGCCACGTTTTTCAACAGGAACTCCGTCTCAATCATCGAGCAGCTCTCTTGCGGGCGACACACCGGAGAGGACGAAGACGGTGACGAAAACTCCATACGGAGGCTCGAGCAAATTCCGATCCCAAGCTGCTACGTCGGCCTCAGCTTCCAGCAGCTGTTCCAGGGGCTCTTGCACAACGAAAAGGCGCTCGCTCTGGGACTCTACCGCCCGGTTGGGACGCACAACTCTCCAGTCGCTTATGTGAGCACGAACCCGGCCTATGACACACTGCTTCACAGCGGAGATCTCATTTATGTCCTCCAGTAGAAACGCAACTCGCTCGAGGTCAGTTCGCTCGATTAAACTTCTCCTTCGCCTTTGTTGATGTTTGCATAATCAGAACGCTAGAACGGAGATCTCCTCCAGTATCCAGTTGTCTCGATTAAACTTCTCCTTCTCCTTGTTACGTGATTATCATCTACTTGTCAAGCGAGTAAATGTTGGCAAGCAGCAGAAACGCAGCGTCCTGCTGGACAAACTTCGCCGCTCGAGCGCCGACTTTCGAGCTCTGCTGACTCCGGCAAGCCCCAAGCAGGCATCCCCACACCGCGGCATTTGGAAGGCACGGCATTGTGGCGATGAGCTCCTGCGCATCCTCGACGAAGCCAGCGCGTCCCAGCAGATCAACCATGCAGCAGTAGTGCTGCATCGTCGGCTCCAATCCGAAATCCACCACCATCGACAGAAACAGAGACCTTCCATCGAAAAGCTTCCCAGTTCTACTGCATGCTACCAGGATCAAGGCGAAGCTTATGTCGTCCGGGAGCTCCAAGAGCTTGGCGGAATGAAAGGCTTGGAAGGCGTGAGAAAGATCTCCTTTGTGGATGGTGGCAGTGAGCATTGTGTTCCAAGACACCAAGCTTCTCTCGGGCATCGAGAGAAAAGTTCTCTTGCACTGTTGCAATTGCCCGGCTTGGGCTTGAGCGCCAAGAAGAGCGTTCCAAGAGACTGAGTCGCGAGTATTCATTCCCTGGAACAAAGACTCGCAATCCAAAAGATGCCCAGTCTGGGCATATGCCGTTAGCAAAATATTCCAGGACATTAAGTTCCAACCCGGCATCCAGCGAAACGTTTGCTCTACGTCAGATAGATACCCGGAACGAGCATAACCGTACAAAAGAGAGTTCCAAGAGAATATTCCTTGGCATGGCGTCTTGTCAAACAAACATTTCAACACTTCAATTTGCCCATCACCGGCATATGCTGCAAGAAGAATATTCCAAGTCACGATATTTGTACGGGGAATCTCGTCGAATAAACGTTTTGCCTGGTCAAGATGGCCGTTGTCAGCGTACGCTGCCATCATAGCCGTCCACACAACCACGTCTTTGTGGGCAATAGAGTCGAATAACTTTCTCGCAAGAGAAAGATGCCCGGCTTGGGAATATGCCGCAAGCATCGTGGTACATGAAACGAGGTTGTGCATGGGCATGCACTCAAAGATTTTTTTTGTTTCTTCCAAGTGTCCACTTCCAGCACTTCCGGCAAGTATTGTGCTCCAGGATATTATGTTACACGCGGGCATCTCGCGAAAAACTTTCATGGCGAGTGCAAAGGAATCGCAGTGGCAGTATGTTGTGATCATCGCATTCCAGGATACAAGGTCTCGCTCCGGCATGGAATCAAAGACACACTCCGCCTGCTCACACTCTCCGGCGCTCGAGCACGCAGTGAGCATCGCGTTCCAGGAGATGAGATGGTGCTCGAGCATCACCGCAAAGATTTCTCGCGCTCCCGCGAGGTCGCCCTCGCGGGCACAGGAGTTGAGCAGTGATGTCCAAGTGAAAACCCCGTGCTCGGGCATTTTTTCTGCGGTCTCCCGCGCCTCTTCAAAATGCCCGCTTTGGGCTAATGCTGATACGATTGCGTCCCAAGCTACAATATTGTGTTGTGGCATTGCATCAAACATACTTTTGGCCTGATCGATTTGACCGTTTCTCGCGTATGCACTGAGCATTGCGGTGTAAGAGACGAGATTGGGTGATGGCATTTTGTCGAAGGCCCATTTTGCATGTCGTAGATACCCGTTTTGGGCATATGAGCATATCAAGCACACCCAGGAAAATGCATCTTTGGACACTATGGAATCAAACACTGCACGAGCAGAATCCACATTTCCAATGCTTCCATAGAGTTGAATTTTTTTGTTCAAAGCAACCACTTCATTCATCACATGACTTCATAGAATAAATAGATCATGTGAATGTATCATAAGAATAAAAAGGTATTTTTATTTCAATTAGTTTTCTCAAATTAGCCTTAATGAATGTATTAAAATTATATTTTCAGTAGAAATCTTTAATATTCAAAATATATAAATTTCTAACAATTTTTTAAAAACAGTTAAATGAACAATTAATTTTCATATTGCTATATGAGGTCACAAAAATGGAGTTATAAAATAATTTCAAACAACATTCTCGTTCCATTTTTGGGATATGGTATTTTTGGGTAGGTGTAATATAAACAATATATAATAATCTTCCAAGATGATCTCTGAAAATTATTAAATTTTATATTATAGAATTACCATTATTAATTATCCCATTGTTTTTTTCTCTTTTCTTATCAATATTCATAGAAATTTTATTTAAATTAAATATTTCTATTTTGTAATTCAAGTTTATACTAATTAAATTCATTCTTTTATTCTAGGTAAAAAACCTTAATGATATTGAAAAAACCTATATCATTTAATATAAATTCTCTGAGAAAAAACTCATGTTCTTAGTGGTCGAGATAGACTTCTTATATACAAGAATCCATAGACTAAATTCAATCCCAAATGAATAATTTATATGCTATATTATTATAACTAGTGTATTAATTATATATATATATATATATATATATATATATATATATATCTTGCACTAAAAAATGAGAAGAAAACTACTCATTTAATTAGGATAAAAAAAACCCAAACTAGGTCAAAATTTACAACGTGTCTTCCATAAACTTGTCCACTTGCCTTTGGCAATCGCCCACCGATTGTTCTCTTCGACAGTCACCAGCAGCACAAAGATTTACTGGTGCACGAGTTGCAGGAGGCTGAGGGAGCAGCGCTACAACGCTCTTGCAGCCGTGACAACTACATTCCCGTCCAGGTTCCAGGACGGTTTATACCTCCATTGCTCTATCGGTAGGTGATAATATGAAAAACTGGAAAAAAACGCCACGTACTTTTAGCTTTGAATTCCTTCTTTCGGTTTTGGCAACAACACCAAAACGCTGCTCTGCATCTTCAGCCACATGTACCAGGAGCTTCCATACCGGAATCGCCTCCTCTTCTTCAGGCCGCCTCGCCACCTTTTTCGAAGATCATCTCCCACATGAAACAGTCTTTGGCGGCGGCACTGTCCGAGTTCTACCCTGTCCGCGAGGACATGCGAATGCTGCTCGAGTGCACCGATCGTGGCGTCAAGGCGTCGTGTAATCGGCCACTTCCCGAAGGTGACAAGTTTGATCTGGACCGCAAGTTCCCGCTGGAGCTGCCAGGGCACGAGAAGGATCTCAAGTGGCCGTGGCAGGTACAAAAGATCTGACCAAAAAACCTTACGCGTATCTAAGGACAATGTACTTTCAAGGTGACGGAGTTTTCTTGTGCGGGAGCTAATATAAAGAATATTCTTTCATTTTCTCACAAGAAATCGTTTGTTATGGAAAATAGTTGGATAACATATACAAAGATCGAAATACCTCCAGTTAAGCTAGTTCTTCTTCGCGCATGCAAGGGACTCCATCGCCACTACGTTCAATCCTTTCTTCGTAGAGAGCAGCCACAGCTTCCACATCAGTGCGTGCTCCTGTGAGTAGCAAATCCCATCCAAAAACCAATCGAAACTAAAGAACAAGGCCGCCAAGTCTTGCGGCGTGTCCGTCTTGGGAAATATGCCAGCGAAATCCCGTGCTCTCGAACGTATTCACAAGCCTTGCACAGGACAAATGAATGGGAAGAACTAAACGCTATGGATTCTAGCCATGAAAAAGATCAAGAAGAACTAACCTGGCTTGTCCGAGACAACATCTCCAAGATCAGTGCCATCCGTCGTCGGCTTGTGAATGCTCTGAAAGTTTTATCCGCCGCCAGACACGAAAACAGCCAGGCGCTTCCTCCTCATCTGTGCTAGCAGGAAACCTAAGAAGAGGGCGACGGCAACAGCGAGGAGGAAAGAAATGCCGGCGCGATTGGAATGGAGCGCATCGAAAGGCAAAAGGTACTTGAAGCTGACAAAATGGCCTCTCCTTGAGGCGTTAGGGTGGCAATGGAAAACCTGGGGGTCGAGTCGGAGCGGCGTTCTCGGATATCAAGAAAGGGTCTCAGGGGATTGAGAAAGGTAAGTAATGAGTATGACAAACTCAGGAGCTTTGCCAAGGAGAAGAGGCTGGTGGGGGAATATGTCAACACGAGGTACGATGCAGTGGCTCAGGATCCAGACTTGGGCCATTTGCTGGGTTTACTCTACATCCACCAGCACTGGGATCTCTTCCAAGATTTCATCTCCGACGAGGTTTTCCAGACTGCTCGCCACATCCTCCAGGACCCATGCAGCCCTCAACTCGCTCGACGTTTCCTGGACTCAGGTAACAGGTTTGGGTGGTTTTATCGTGCAGCTGAACTGATTCATGTTTCTGTAGAAGATGCGACTCAAAGGATGGCTGTCAGTGATGCTTTGCTGTCTGATCGCTTTGCTCAGCGCAAAACGGTGAGTGTCTCCTTCCTCCTTTGTTTCTGTTTCGTGTCTCTTACCAGTTCATGTAGATGGATCTTTCAAGTGAAAAGTTTGGTGAACGAGCTCAACCCGTTTACGAGGCCCTCTCGTATGATATAGTCAAACTTGTTGAACGGCAGTCATCACCAAGCTACGGCAAACTCAGCTACCAAGAGCTGGAGCTTCTGCTCTGCAGCATCAAGTCCGAACCATTTATCGAGGACTTGCTTGTGCCTTGCCTTCTTCCAGACGTTCTAACACACCGGGAGAAAGTGGAAGATGCGGTCGCGCATGCTCGGCTCATGCTGCTAGAAGCAGAGGCGAATATTTTCTATGGCTGCTCCTTCAACTGTAAGTATGGCGCGCTTTGGTTTATCATTATCTTCTGTGTATGTTACAGATGCTGAACTCAAAGGAGCAGCAAAGGCTTCAGTAACTGAGAAACAAAAGCTCCATGACAGTAGCCAGCTACTCTGGTAAACCCAGTTTTCTGCTTGTATCCTCACCATCTTCGTCTTGCTTTCCTTGCGTACAGGTACATGCTTCGCAATCCTTCTCCCATAGACAAGTCGTTCAGGTGCTTTTACCTCGAGGCAGTGCTACATTCAACGACGTATGTCTCCCGTTTTCCTTTCTTATCTTTGTGAATTCGCTTAAATATTTGTGTCCAGGCCCGGGAGGGTCAAAGTGCTGACCCCGGAAGACTATCCGGACACAGTCCCTCCTGAGTTTCAAGAGGACATTTCTGAAAAAGATCTGCGCGTGTTTCGCATCATTCCTCATGGAACTTCGTTCGGGTATGTATACTATGCAAGTGCATTTGAACCTCTCATCTCCTTGATCTGGTGATCTTGCGCTTTCTGTCTCAGCTCAAAGTCGAACGTGGTTTTTGCAAGACTGTGTGACTTTGACCTCAAGAGCATCCTGTTGGGGGAGCCCGTGGCCAGGGAAAGGGTGTGCCAAGCTCATATGCTTATCGACAAGATCTGGCCAACTCCAAAGGAGGTGTACGAGGCTTTGGTTCAGAGGTACTCTCTATTCATCATCAATCCTATCGCCACCTTGACATTCTCATTTGTGCTTTAGTGTCATGGAAGGTCCCAGCAGCGTGAGGCAGGTTTCCAAGAGCAAGAGGAATGCCCACCACCGAAGGTAAGTCAACTTTTTGTTCATAACAGTGCTAATGCAACGATTACAGGCCCTCTGTTGTGTGCAGAAGTGCTGCGGACAGTTTCCGAGAATCTGGTGGCCATAGGTTCACTTTTTTTTATCACAGTTTTGTTGGCTTTTCTAACGACATGTTGTGCAGCCTGGAAGATGGCGAGCCTCAGATTTTCAAGAAAAAACGGAGGAAAGCGAACGATTCAGGTACTGTTCCTTCAGTGTTAAGATTAAAGGGGGACACTCACAGTGCTTTCAGGAGCAACAAAACGCTCAAAGTTGATGATGAAGCATCAAGCGCCAGTATGCTGCCCTGCTCTACGCACATGAGGTCGGCAGCACACTGGTAGCAAATTGGCATACTCAGCTTTAAATGTGGTACTTCGAGTTTCTCACAACCTAGGTGAAATAGCCTGCAACTCGTGCACCAGTAAATCTTTGTGCTGTCGAAGAGGACAATCGGTGAAAGGATTGACAAGTTTATAGAAGGTTGTAAATTTTGACGTAGTTTGGGCTGGTTTAAATGATTATTAAATATCAAAGATATATTTAGTGCATATATAACCACAAGCCTTAAACCGGATATTCGTCTACGTGGCATTTCACGTCGCCCTGTCAGCACAGACGCCCGTCAACGATTCAAATATCCCGCGGTTTTTCTCGTTGTATCGGCACTGGTGCATATCGATAAAATCCCACAAGGAAAGACGGGCAAAAATGATGAGGATACACACACAGCAAAGATCAAAACCATGAGAATGGAGGCGTCCATCTACGGGCCGCCACGTTTTACCGGATGGTGACCTCTAACGAACTAGAAGGCTACTTTATCGACTGACTGAAATAAATTCATGTATTTAATGACCCAGCTGTACAATTTTGAATTTTGCCCCAACATAACCCGATTGATTTGTGGTGGTTCGATTCCTTCTTTATCAACGATCACGCCTGCACGGCCAGCCACCCACAGCTTTCTCTCAACATCTAGGTCAGGGCGATTGCTGGAGAGTGGCAATTCTTGTTCTACGATCTTTGATCGATCGTGTGGATTGCCAGGTTTGTGTGTGCACGATATCTCTCTCTCTCTCTATGATTTAATCACCAGGAGAGTCTTGATTGCCAGATAGAGAGATTGCGAGGATGAGCTCCAACGGCATCTTTTAAGTTCCGGCATTCTGATCCTGCTCTGCTGCCATGGCAAGGAGAAGGAAGAGACATATGCACTAATTGATATAATATTGTTTTAGGGTTTTAGGTATGGAATGAGCAATGGCGCTGGGCATGTCCAGGCGCTACTACACCTCCTTCGCCAAGAGGATCGCTGCGCCATCGCCAAAGGTTCGCGAAAATCTCATTCCTTTCTCTGCATTCCTCGCTCTCCAGGCGAAATATTGCTCTTCCAGGAGGAGGTTTTCAGTCGAGAGAGAGCGCCCTGTGATCGTGCCCTATCCAGAGGTTGTGATCCTTCTCTATGGATCTCATGACACATTCTTTCTTCTTTCTCTTACTCTCTGTCTTCCAGCCTGCGAACTGGCTTGCTCGATCGATGATTCTTCTGGGGACCGGCGTGGGCCTCGCATTTGCCGCGTATTTCTACCTCGGGAGGCCACCGATCGAAGGTAGTTTTTCTGTTTTCTTCTTGTTCTTCTTGTTGTCAATGCTAAGTCTGTTTTTCCTTAGCGAAAAAAACATCTACCGCGGCTGTGAGGCCTGAGAGGATCACCGTCGGTGGCCCGTTCTCTCTCCTCGATCAGTCTGGCAAAGTAGTGTCGAACAGTGACTTCTTTGGCAAGTGGTCTTTGATCTACATTGGCTACACGCATTGTCCCGAGGATTGTCCGCGGCAGCTTGAGAAGATTGCTAGCGTCGTGCATCAACTAGGTGAGTTTTCGTGGTTACTTTCGTTTTTCCATTTTTTTTCTTGATGTTGGATTACACTTAGGAAAGAGCATTGTGCCGATCTTCATCACGGCTGATCCGGAGCGTGACAACGCGGTCCAACTCAAGCACTACCTCAGAGGTCGAGCTCAATCAAACGTAAAAGCCTTTCCAACCTTTGTCTCTGCAGAGTTTCACCCAGGCTTTGTTGGACTTACTGGAAAGCCAAGCGATGTGAGGCCGGTGCTGTGGAAGTTCCGAGCGTTTTTCAGGAAGACGGACGAGGACAGATCCGACTACCTTGTCGAGCACTCCTCTAACGTGTAAGCGAAATTCACTTCTCTTCGCGCAGCCGATATATCTTTTCCAGTCTTGTGGCAGTTACCTGATGAACACCAAGATGGAATGCATCAAGGTGTTTGGACCCGAGTACCATGACAAAGCACTGGTGGACGCCATCACTAAGGAGATGACAAAGGCTGCTGCCATGGAGGGTACTCAAGCTCTCTAGACTCATGCCTATGACCGAATGCCACTAACTCCTCTCTCCGGCGCTTGCAGCTTGAAGTATAGAAGAATTTTTTTGCGATATCTTCTCACTCTCGTCGACTAGTTTTGAGTATAACTTTAGCGCCACGGTATCGTCTCGTCGCTTGTGCTCTTAACCCGAGTGGCGACATGATTTTGCAGACTCTGTATAGCAGGAAAAGAAAAAACATTTGGCAAAGACAGACAGACCAGCGCTCTTGCTTGATTATGACGTTGCTTTTTCTAAACCTTTCCGATCAGTCATACAGCTGGCCGGCACGATCTCTGTCCGCGACGAAAATGGTCCATTCGTACAGTTTTTGTACAACGATCCTATCAATATGCAAGGATGTTGCTTCTTCATTCACACAATCTGTAATTTAGTTTTCTGTGCAGCTTGCAGCGGCAAGCAGCGGAGAGGCAGCAGTGGCCATGGCTCGTTCTTTGCTATCTACATTTCTTCTCGTCGCGTTGCTAGCACCGCTACTCGATGCTGCCGTTGCTGCTGCTGGTGCTCGAAGGCTTGCTACTGATCCAAAGCCATCGCCGTCATCGGTTATTATTGTTGGGGCCGGCATGGCAGGTTAATGACAAACTCGGAAGTCCATCTCGTCGAAACTGACTGAGATCTGCTCGTGGTGTTCTCAGGTGTAATGGCTGCGAAGACACTGTCCGAAGCTGGAGTGAAGGATTTTGTTATTCTCGAGGCGACTGAGGTCATCGGGGGGCGAATGCGGGAGGCGGACTTTGCAGGGAAGCGGATCGAGCTGGGAGCAAACTGGGTGGAAGGAGTGAACAAGACCACCACGAATCCCATCTGGAAGCTTGCAAACCAGTACAAGCTCCGGACGTTCTACTCTAACTTTGACAATCTCAGTCACAACATCTACACTCAGAAGTAAGTTTCTCTCTGTTTGCTGAGCTTCACACGATAATCTGAAAGGCATTAAATTGTGGGCAGTGGACATCTTCAAAACAAGCTGGGAGAAAACTTTATGAGCAAGTCCGACGATTCTAGCGATTTCGTTGATGAGCTCGGGCTGAGCAAGAGCGAAAGCAATGCCCCGGATATGTCTGTTTTGTCCGCACAGAAACTTCACGGAGTGTAAGCGCTCGATCTTTCAATGTGCTTGCTTATCTTAATCTGTGCTGGCTACAGTTTTCCAAAGACTCCTGTCGAGATGGTTCTCGACTATTACAACTACGACTACGAATTTGCAGGTATCTACCTTACTTATTTTCTAGATTTCTTGACCATGTTTCTCTCCTTTGAACATTCCAGAGCCACCAAGTGTCACGAGCTTGAAAAACACACAGCCTAATCCTACGTTTCATAATTTTGGCGACGACAATTACCTTGTTGCTGACCAGCGTGGTTACTCGTACCTCGTTCAGAAACTAGCCGAGGAGTTCCTTGCCAACAAGAACGGCAAAATTACCGATCCCAGGCTTCAGCTTAACAAGGTACCACGGCTTGACATGAAAGTGATCAATCCTACTCTTCGCTCTTCGCAGGTTGTCCGCCAAATCAAGTACTCTAAAACAGGAGTGGCTGCAACCACTGAAGACGGCAAAGTCTACAACTCAAAGTACATCATCGTGACGGTCAGTCTGGGAGTTCTTCAGAGCGACCTTATCAAGTTCAACCCTGGTTTACCGGTCAGTTCATTCGAAGTAGATGCATCCTCCGCTAAATGGCAGTGCAATCCCCTCTGCAGGACTGGAAACGTGAAGCTTTGAGCGAGTTTGACATGGCTGTTTACACCAAGATCTTTCTCAAGTTCCCCTACAAGTTCTGGCCTTCAAACGGACCACTGACCGAGTTCTTCCTCTATGCCGACGAGAGACGCGGGTACTATCCAATATGGCAAGTAAGGACACTTCAAACTCTTCACACCATCGTGTTTTAAGCTGGAAGCTTTCAGCATTTGGAGAACGAGTACCCAGGGGCAAATGTCATGTTCGTCACCGTCACGGACTACGAATCCCGCCGCATTGAGCAACAACCCAACAATGAAACCATAGCCGAGATCCACGAAGTGCTTAAGTCGATGTTTGGACCGTCGGTGCCCAAGCCAACTGATATCCTGGTACCGAGATGGTGGTCCAACAGGTTCTTCGTCGGCTCCTTCTCCAACTGGCCCATTGGTGTGGAAGCTTTCGAGTTTGAGAGGATCCAAGCGCCGCTCAGCCACACTCTCTACTTCGCTGGAGAGCACACGCATGAGCACTACAATGGCTACGTCCACGGTGCTTACTACAGCGGTAAGTAGCCAAAGTTCTCGCGGGTTTTGGAGCTCAGTTTGGTTTCCAGGGATCGACGCTGCGAACAAACTCCTGGACTGCATGAAGAAGAACAAGTGCGTGGACAAAGTACCAAAGGCACCGGCGCACAGAACCGGAGAGAAGAGGAGACGAAACATGGAGAGCGCGGAAGCAAGCGTTGTCAAGGTAAGGATCTAGCATTTCTTGGCACTTTTCAGGAGATTTTGTCTTCTTTTTGTTTAGGAGCGGGATTTGTCCAGGCGCGAGTGGGATAAGCAGCTCCATGGAATATTAGCGGTCAATTCAGCTCATTGAATTCATTGATAGCTCCATTCTTGGAGCTGGCCATGTAAACAAAAAATGAATGAATGATGTGGCAAACGATAGTGATAAAAACAATTTTTTGTACAATGGACCAATAGGAAAAACCAAAAAGAAAAAGTGAGAGGGTTTAATTTATGTGAAAATGACAATCCAGCGGAGCCCTCCATGTCGGATGCAATTTCTTTTATTGCTAATGATGCTTAGAAGATTCCAGGATCTCTGGGAGTATTTATAAGCGGCTATCCCGCTAGAGCCAATCATCTATAGACACCATGAGGAGCTTCTCGAGCTTTTTCTTCTCTTCCTTCGTCTTCTTCTTCTTCCTCGCCTTGGTCGCTCTGGATCGATCGCGCTGCGTCGCTGCAGCGCGGAAGATCACTGCTGAGGATGCCCTCGATGCCAAATACTCGTTTGACGTGATAATTGTTGGTGCAGGAATGGCAGGTATACAATACACGAAGAATTTTATCACATATATCTTTGATTCACGAGAGATGTGGAGAGAAAGACTCCATTCTCACCATGTTTCGTGAAGTTTTTCGTGATGTATCTTTGATTCGCGAAAGATCTGGAAAGAGAGAGAGAGAAAGACTCCATTCTCACCATGTTTCGTGAAGTTCTTCGTGATCTATACGTTTCGTTAGCACATATATCTTTGATGCACGAAAGATCTGGAAGAGAGAGAGAGAGAGAGCCACTCCATTCTATCAAATACATCTTTGAATTCACGAAAGATCTGGGAAAAAAGAGAGAGAAACTCCATGCTCACCACTTCGTTTTCGTGATCTTAGCACATATATCTTTGATTCACGAAAGATCTGGAGAGAGAGAGAAAGAGAGAGAGAGAGAGAGAGAGAGAGAGTCCATTCGTTTCGTGAAGTTCTTCGTGATCTATATGTTTCGTGATCCTACACGTTGATTCTTTTGATGTATCTTTACATTGGCATTCGTATATGGATGGAATCTCTAAATGCCATTGGTTTTCCGTGGTTGCAGGCATCATGGCTGCAAACACCTTGTCCGAGGCCGGGATTGACGACTTTGTCATCCTTGAGGCCACGGACAGGATCGGCGGGAGGATGCGCGAGGCCGATTTCGCGGGCAAGAGGATCGAGCTGGGAGCAAACTGGGTCGAGGGTGTCAACGAGACGACGACAAACCCAATCTGGGAGCTCGCAAACAAGCACAAGCTCCGGATGTTCTACTCCAACTTTGACAATCTCAGCAGCAACATCTACACCCAAGAGTTCAGTGATCTTAGAGCCCAACACATTAAACTTCCTTTTAAGATATATTCTATCCATGCCATCAAGTTCTCCTGGATCTCCCAAAGAACTCTATGATCATGGCCTCGATGCTCTCTCTCTTTTCCCAAGAACAAGAACTCTGTGACCCTCTTTCTCTTCTCCTAAAAAGTTTCATTCTCACTTCTCCCAGGCGAGATATAAGAGGAGAACTCACAACTCTTTTCTCATGAATCATCTCTCTCTCTCTCTCTCTCTCCACACACACACAATCCATGGGATCTAATCTCTCTCACGTTTTGCTCTTGCAGTGGACACTTTGCAAACAAGCTGGGCGACATCTACATGAAGAAGCTCGACGACAGCTCCGAGTGGATCGAATCGCTTGGAATCAAGAAGAGCCAGAGCAATAGCGCCGATATCTCTGTGTTCACAGCACAGCGCATTTATGGAAAGTAAGGCTTTATGCCGCTAATAAGGACCTCCATATACCACAAAATCTTGCAGGGTCCCCTCGACGCCAGTGGAGATGGTCCTCGACTACTACAATTATGACTACGAATTTGCTGGTACGTATAAATGCTTGCAAGAGCAATGCCAGCATTTGAATACTTTCCAGAGCCTCCTCGAGTTACCAGCTTGAAGAACACCCAGCCAAACCCCACCTTTCACAACTTTGGCGATAGCAATTTCCTGGTGGCCGACCAAAGGGGATACTCGTACCTCGTCCAAAAGTTGGCGGAAGAGTTTCTGGATTCCAAGGATGGAGTTATCACCGATCCAAGGCTCAAGCTCAACACGGTTTGACAATCGCCAATGATCTCCATTCCCAAATGCTAAAACCTCTTGGATCATCTCGCAGGTGGTGAACAATATACGATACTCCAAGAATGGTGTAAAAGTTGGCACCGAAGGTGGCAAGAGCTACAAAGCCAAGTACGTGATCGTCACAGTCAGCCTTGGGGTTCTCCAGAGCGGCCTCATCAAGTTCATACCACCCTTCCCGGTATCAAAACCCAAAGTTTCCACAATCAAGATCTCAAACCCAAGGTTTTTGCAGGACTGGAAGATCGAGGCCTTGAGCGAGTTTGACATGGCTGTCTACACGAAGATCTTCCTCAAATTCCCATACAAGTTCTGGCCATCAAACGGACCCCTCACCGAGTTCATGCTCTACGCCGACGAGCACCGAGGATACTATCCAGTCTGGCAGGTAATCCCCCATTATCATCTAAAACATAGAATTATCATCTCAAAGAAACAAACTAACTCTTCTTTCACAGCATCTGGAAAACGAGTACCCGGGAGCCAACGTCATGTTTGTCACAGTGACCGACGACGAATCCCGGCGTATCGAGCAGCAGCCCCCCAACGAAACCATCGAGGAAGTCCACGAAGTTCTCAAGAACATGTTTGGGCCGTCGGTGCCAAAGCCGATCGATATCCTGGTTCCAAAGTGGTTTTCGAATCGCTTCTTCGGTGGATCCTTCTCAAACTGGCCCATCGGCGTCGAGAGCTACGAGTTTGAGCGAATCCAAGCGCCGCTCAAGGGAGCGCTCTACTTCAGCGGAGAGCACACCCACGAGCACTACAATGGCTACGTCCACGGAGCTTACTACAGTGGTGAGTCTTGCGGAAGAAAGCTCGTTTTCAGTACCTGACTCTCGGAGGATTTGCTCGCAAGGTATCGATGCTGCGAATCGGCTGCTGGCTTGCAAGAAAGAGGGGAAGTGCATCGATGAAGTGCCGCAAGCACCTCCACACAGGCGGGGCTCTAAGAAGAGGAGAAACGTGGACGAGGCTGAAATGGAAGCAATAAAAGTAAGTGGTTCTTTAAAGTCACAAGTTGGAAAAAAAAAAATAGAAACAAGTGGAAAAAATGATACATCCCTGTTTGGTGTTTTGTTTCCAGGAACGCGATGCTGCGCGGCAGGCTTGGAAGAAGAGCGCTATGTAGGCTGTATTCTCTCCTCTTCAGCTATAATGGCTGGAATTTCCACTACGTAAATAAAGAGATGAAAGTAAAAACAGCGTACCTTTCGTAGTTTTAAGTTACTCGGCAGCATTCTTTCGCTTCTTCTTTTTCTTTGACACCTCCTCAGCCGCTTCGGCAGATTTTTTAGCCTTTTTCTTCTTCTTTGGCTCGTTCTTTGAAACAGGCTCGTCCTCGACTGCAACTGATGGATGCCCGTTCTCCTCCTCCGAAATCGCTTTCTTCTTCTTCTTCTTCTTTTCGGCAGCTGGCTGCGGCTCATCCATGTCCATGGGCTCGGCGTCACTCTTCCTCTTTTTCTTCTTTTTCTTCTTTCCATCTGGCAGTGACGAGTACAATCATCTTAAGATGCATGAAAAAGAGGTACTACCTTCTGGAAAGGCTTCTCCATCTTGTGCTATTTTCTCTTTTTCTGCGGCGTCTTCCATCTCCACGTCAGCATTCGATTGCTGTTGCAGCGCCTCTTTGCAGGCCAGCTTCATTACGTCGATATTTTTCCGAGGCGCCACACCCTTGTCATAGAAATCAAGCCGTTCTTCCACTTGCTCCTTCAGCTTTTGTCCAAAAGCATTTGTGCTCGTTTCTTGAAACAAGACACACAAAAGAAACCTTTAGATAAAGAGGCTTTTAACAGGAAAGACTTACCCAGGTAGCAGTCAAGCCGCGTTGCAAGACTGGCCTTGTTTGCCAGGTATCGGGAAATACGGCCCTTGTTCTTCGCTGAAGCCCTCCCAATGAACGAAGAATGGAAGATGAGACCATACTTTGGCGTGTTACCTTTGGTCTTCAAAGCCCTGGAGTGATGAGAACAAGTTTTAAACAGTCGAAATACATAGATAAAATAAAGCACCTGAATAGAGCTTTCTCTGCTCCGAGAATCTGAACTGTTGAAGCAGGACACTTAGCCAGGTTTGAGAGGCTCCCTGCATGTGAAATAAGTCGGGCGCCAACAATCTCTCCGATAAGAGTAGCCAAGTTTGGCGCAATTCCATGCATCTTGGACACGAGATACCCATGGAGCACGGTTCGGAACTCCACAAGCCGGACAACCCTTTCTCCAAAAGCCTGGATGTTGATCAAGTCGATGGGAGAAATGTCCTGACCTGTTAGCAAAACTTGGCGTCAAATAAAAATACCAAGGGATACTAAGAGACGCACCCATGGATGATTTCGCAGCCGCAAGAATTTCCTTTGCCTTGTCCTCATCCCCGGTAATCTCTGTCAGCTCTTCAAGTGACTCGTCCGCGAGAGTAGATTTGTCCTTGATGAACGTACAGAGCTTTGCGTATATGTAGTTGTCGCTAATAATCTTAACCAGCTCCGGAAAATGCCATGAATACCACTCTCTAGCAACAACGAAAACTAATCAGAAAGACAAAGAGAAGAAGTGCAACCGCGTACTTGGCTCTCATGGCAAATGTGTTGATATCTTTGTCGAGCGTATCCAGCAAGCTTATGCTCTGGATTATCATGTTGTCGATCCTATTCACGTTGAATTTCACTTTGGCTCTGCTGTAGCTATGAGAAAGACCAAGCTGGGCTCTTTCCACATCTCCCTCCTGTCGAAGTCCTAAATGTAAGAACTCCAAAGAGAAACGAGAGAAAAAAATGACACCTTGAGATCACGGACGAAACGAGAAAAATGGAGACGAATGCCACGCAAAAACTCTGCAACAAACTCATTGCTCTGGCAGGGAACGCCCAGACTCTCTTGGATTTGAGACCCCAGCTTTGGTTCCGCCACGCCCAGAGAGAACTTGGCGGCCTTTCCCGCCTTCACTTTGGGGAGACAAGAGCCTAAAAACTCTTGCAGCTCGCTGGTCATGATCCCTGGCAAAGAAAGAGTAGTTTTTAAGTAGTTTCTACGCTCTAAGCTAAGATTCGGGAAATTCTTACCTTCTGATATGGCATTGCACTGGTCCAGCGCGCTGGCGGCCGACTCAAATGGCTTGAAAGTGACGAGGCGGACGACATTGCCAAATCGATTGAGATCTTTGATGGATTCCTGGACGGCCGCCGCGGCCTGGCCAATCTCGTCGAGCCCGTGCGCCTCGAAGATCGAGTAGCCCGACGGCGCCTCGTAGAGAAGATAGAGAGGCTGCGACTTGGAAGCCGAGAGAGTCGCCATGCCGAAAAACCCTAAACCCTAAAATCGAGAATCTACCAATGATGCCTTTCGTTTTAGTGCTAAGTACATGGTTTAAGTCATAAGCCTGTTTTAAATCCTTTTTTGAAAAGATTCGCATTAGCTAGTGGGATATTCGTCTATATTGTACGGATGGGCCTCATTTATTATACGGCACGCAAGCTTGGAGGGAAGAGCCCTAGAGGTAGATTTTTTGCAGGGGCGAGGGCGCCGGGGCGCGATCGATGGAGCTGCTGCTGCTACTGCTTCTCATGATCCTCGGCGCGCCCGCGCGATCGCTGCCGCTGCTGCCATTCCATCCGCGCGACGTTCTCCCGGCGCTGCCGCACGGGATTGCATGGCCGACGCTCAACCGGCTGCACAACGCGGTGGATTTGCTGCCGGAGTTCGTAGCGGCAGTGTCGTCTCCCTCGGACAGGAATTTGAGCAGCTGGAAAGGTGCCTGCTTCTACAAGAACGAGGCATGGCTGGAATTCACGGAGCCAAAGGAGGCCAATAGCTCTGGAGGGGGCATTTTATATATCAAGGTATGTTCTTAAGGAAGAATGTTGGTGTTCTTCTCTTCTTTTTTTTTGTCATGTCTTAGAACAGTCGTGGTTTCGTTCCAGACAAGCAATGCTCACAGTTGGACATGTATGGACTTGTATATCTTTGCCACTCCTTACCGAGTTACTTGGGACTACTACTTCATTGGCCGCACGCACACCATGGAGATCAAAGAATGGCAAGAAGGAGAGCTTGATTATGTAAGTGAGATTGACAAGAAAAATGCTGACAGTTCTCTTCCAGGTGAAAGACAAGGGAATTTCGGTGTTTTTGATGAAGGCCGGCATGCTTGGAACTTTGATGGCTCTGTGGGACGTGCTGCCGATTTTCTCAAACACCGGCTGGGGACAAGATGCCAACATCGAGTTCTTGAAGAGGCATATGAAAACTAAGTTTGTGGAGCGTCCGCAAAGCATGTCGAACTTCAGCACCGACGATATCCAGTCTGGTGACTTTCTGGCGCTCTCCAAGATACGAGGACGTTGGGGAGGCTTTGAAACTTTGGAGAAATGGGTCACGGGAGCTTACGCTGGGCACACTGCGTTTGCTCTCAGGGACGAACAAGGAAAGCTGTGGGTTGGAGAGTCCGGGCACGAAAACAAAGAGGTAAACAAGCGTTTCTTCTTGGTGGTTATCTTGATTTTCATTCTCTTGTGTGGCAGGGTCAAGAGATAATTGCTGTCTTAACTTGGGATGACTGGTGGAAGCAGCAGCTAGCAGACGATGCGAATCCTCATATTGTTGTGTTGCCTCTCAGCTCGGCGATGCGAGAAAAGTTCAATCTTACTGCCGCCTGGGAATACGCGCGGAGCATGGATGGCAAGCCATATGGTTACCATAACATGATCTTCAGCTGGATTGACACTCCGGTAGACAACTATCCTCCTCAGCTGGACTCAAACCTGGTAAGAGAGCTTTAGTTTCCAAAGCTTGTTGACACATTTTCTCGGTTGGGATAGGTGGCTTCGGTGCTCACGGTCTGGACTCGACTCCAACCAGAGTATGCTGCCAATATGTGGAATGAAGCTCTCAACAAGCGTCTCGACACTCAGGTATGACTTAGTTTCGATGAGAAAAGTGGAAAACTTGTTCATGTTTTTTGTGCTACCAGGGGCTGGATCTTCCCGGCGTGATGAGAGAAGCCGAGCATCGAGGCATTCCATTCGAGGAGCTTCTGGCCATTCCAGAGAAGGACGATTGGATTTACAGCGACGGCAAGTCGACGTCCTGCGTCGCGTTCGTCCTCCAAATGTACAAAGAAGCTGGATTGTTTGGAGAGCTCGCAAGCTCCATCCAAGTCACCGAGTTCACGGTAAGTGCTCGCTTCCTTCTTCTTCCTTCTAGCTTGAGTGAGAGTGACGAGAGTTCTTCTCTTTGCTTCCAGATCCGTGACGCATACATGCTGAGCTTCTTCGAGAAGAATTCTTCGCGGCTGCCAAAATGGTGTAATGCTCACGATGATCCTCCTCTTCCATTCTGCCAGATCTTGGGGACGTATAGGATGGAATTGCCGGACTATAACACCCTGGTGCCTTACGCCTCCATGGACGAGAGGTGTCCAAGCGTCCCTCCAGACTACTATAGGCCCAGTGGCTGTTAATAATATACGTTACGTCGCTTAAATGTAAATATATTTCTTTAGGGTTCTTACTTCTCCCAGGGTTTTTGCGATCCTCATGCGCGAGCGCATGCGATCGTAAGCTGGAATACGCTCGTGAGCTGGAATGCGCCAAGTGCCAGGTTTTAGCGCGATCGTCGCGCAAGAATGCGCGGAAATATCATGGAATCCGCGATCGTGGAGCGCAAAAATATCAAGGAATTGAGGTAATCTTCGTCCGGTCGTCTACATTTTACTCGAGAATCCCTGGCATGCGCCTAGGATTTCGCTAACGCTCAGCCTCGGGTGAGTGATCTCGGTGTTTGAGAAGGCAATGCTTGGAAGCGATGGGGTTTGGAACTCTTTCAAGGATTTCTTTCGAGCTCATGCGTTTTCTTGTTGTGTAGAACGCTTTCCCAGTGTCATTGCCGCAAGCTCCTCGCCACGCATCCCAGCGCTCTTGTAGATGTTTGCCATGAGCACGTAAGCCGCGGGCTGGTTCTCGTCCAAGCTTAGCAGTGACTCAAACGCGATGCGTCCAACAGCAACGTTCTTCCACTTCTCACACGCGCTTAGCACCGTCGTCCAGGTAACCACGGTCGGTTTGTATGGCATTTTGGAGATCACTGCCATTGCTTCTTTCAGGTGGTTTGCTCGTCCCAGCATGTCTATCACACAGTGGTAATGCTCAATCCAAGGCCTGGTTCCTTGCCTTTGCTGCATCGCCTGGAAGCATTCCTTCCCTCTGTGGACAAGACCGGCGTGGCTGCACGCTGTGAGAACCGACAAGGAGGAGATGCAGCACTGCTGTGGCATCTTCTCAAACATGTCAAGCACTCGGTTCGTTTCTCCTCCTTGCCGGGCGTATCCTGCTACCAGAGCACTCCAAGTGACGAGGTTCCTGCCTTTGTGCGAGTCGAAGACTGCCATTGCTTCGTCCATGCTTCCACACTTGGCGTAGAAGTCGACAAGAGCGTTTGCAACGTAGACTTCGCCGTCGAAACCCCGCTTGCAAACTTCTGCATGGATTCGTCTTCCAGCCTCGAGTGCGGTCAGAGCTCCACACGCCACGAGTGCTGCAATGTAAGCCCTGGAGTCGAGTTCACAGGTTTTGTCACTTTGGATTGCCTTGAAGAACTCCAGTGCTAACTCGGCTTGTGCGTTTTCAGCGTGCGCGAGAATCAAGGCCGTCCACGACACAACAGTTGAGACTGGCATCCTGTCAAAGACCATGCGAGCATCAAGTAAGCTTCCACACTTGCAGTACATGGCAACTAAGCTATTGGCCACGAAAGTGTCGGTTTGCAGTCCCTGTGCTGCTGCCTGAGAGTGGACGAGCATTCCTTTCTCCAAGCTTTTCGGTTTTACGACGACTCCATCAACTTCTAGACCATTATCCTCTATAGCTCCGGAGTTCGCGCAGGCCATGAGAGCAACAACGTAAATCCGAGCATCCGGAATACAACTCTGGGACGATCTCATCGACTCGTAAGCCTTTAACGCTTGGTCGTTCTCGCCGTTTTCGACGTAGCCAAGGATCAAGACAGTCCAGGACACAACCGTGTGGCGAGCCATGCCGTCAAACACCTTCCTCGCATCGTCCATACTTCCACACTTCGAGTACATCTCCACTAAACTGTTGGCCACCATGACTTCGGCATCAAATCCACCGCTTTGACAACGAGAGTGAAGCGCTCTTCCTTTCTCCAAGGACTCCATCTTCACCAACTTTCCTCGGATATCCCGGCCGTCCTCTTCGTCCGCCAGAGCAACGCATGCCGTCAGGGCCGAGACATACGTGAGAGCATTCGGCGAGCAGCCTCTGGTCCCCATTTCTTCGAAGAGCTCCAGTGCCAGGGCGGCTTCTTCGTTGTCAGCAAAGCCGAGCACCAAAGCCGTCCAGGAAACAACGTCGTGCGTCGGCATCCGGTCGAACACACGCCGAGCATCCGCCATGCTGCCACAACCGGCGTACATGTCGATCAAGGTACTCGCTACGTAAGGATTAGAGTCGTGACCACTCTTCACTGCTTTAGAGTGAACAGCCATCCCGTTTCTCAGTGACTCGAGCTTACAAGCTTTCCCGTCTCGTGTGTTGCAGGCCCTGAGAGCAGCGACCAAGCACCGAGAGTCCACCGGACACTTCTCCAGCTCCATGGAAGCAAAAGCCTCGAGAGCCAGCTTGTTGTCCCCGTTGTCGACGTATCCCAGGATGAGAAACGTCCATGACACAACGTTCCGGCGGAGCATCCGGTCGAAAACTTCGCGAGCCTCGGGCATGCGGCCACACTTCGCGTAGGCGTGGATCAGACTGTTGGCCAGGAACATGTCCGCTGCACAGCTCGTCTTCGCAGCTCTCGAGTGGACAGCCACGACTCTCTCCAAGCAGCTGGCCTTTCCAGCAACGCTCTCGGCCACCTCTCGAGCCAGGAGTCCACAGCAGATATTCAGCACAGCGACGAGTGTCCGGGTATTCGGCTCGCAGCCGCCGCCATCTTCGTCTTCCATCCGGTCGAACAACTCGAGGGCCTTGCCGCTGTCACCTTTCTCCTCATATCCGAGCATCAGGGAGTTCCACGAGACGACGTCCCGGCGATCCATGCCGTCAAACACCGCCTGTGCGTCCGCCATGGAGCCGAGCTTGGAGTAGACGTCGACCAGACTGTTCGCTACAAACGTTTCGCTGCGATCGTAGCCGAGAGCCGCGGCCTGGGAGTGGATCACTCGAGCCTTCTCCAAGCACTCGGCTCGTCCAAGCCTCTCAGCCAGACTGGAGCAGGCCGTGAGCGCCGCAACGAAAGTCCGAGAGTTTGGACGGCACCCCTCGCGCTGCATGCGGTCGAAGAACTCGAGAGCCTCCTCGCCATGGTCGTTCTCGGCACAGCCAGCGATGAGACACGTCCAAGACACGACGCTGGGAATCGGGATGCTGCGGAAGAACACTCTCTTGGCGTCGTCCAGGCTGCCACACTTGGCGTACAAGTCGACGAGAGCATTGGCAACGAAAACATCCGTGTCGTCGCAGCACCGGCTAGCTCGGGCGTGGATCTCCATTGCTCTCTCCAGGTACTTCAACTTAACGATCTTCCCACCGATCCACTGACCATCTTCCTTGGCTGCCAGGCTCGAGCACGCCACGAGAGCCGCCAGGAAAGTCCTCGCATTGGGCTGGAAGGCGGCGACGACGCCATCGCCAAGACGCGAGAAGAGCTCCAGCGCGAGCTCGCTGTCGCCGTTAGTGGCATAGCCGGAGATGAGAGCGTTCCACGAGACGAGCTCAGGGGAGGCCATGGCATCAAAGACGGACTGGGATTCCACCATGCTGCCACACTTCGCGTACATGGCGATGAGCGTGTTGGCGACATAGACGTTGTGGTGGAGGCCGCGGAGGCGAGAGCTCGAGTGGAGGAGCCTGCCCAGCTCGAGATCTCTGGCGATGGCGCAAGCTTGGAGTGCCCGGATGGAGGAGAGCAGCAGCGCTTGGGAGGAAGAAGAGTTTGTGGCTGCCCAGGTGCCCGGGTAGTGGAATCTCTTCCAGGGAGGGACACCATCGCAACCCAGACGAGTGAGGCGGCATCGCATGGGTTAGAAAACCAGACTACGAAGAGAGTAAAATTGATTATCAAAACTTTTCCATACCGAACAATCCTTTTCTTTGGAGTGAATTTCTTTTTTCGATAGTGCTTTCGAGGCATTTTCTCGGGCCTGCAACACAAAAAAAGAGGCCGAAAAATGAAAAAATAAAATAAATCGTCCAAAGCCAAAGTTGTGAAATAACTTACACCGCTACTCGCTACTGTATGAGCTCTGGTTGCAAAAACTCGATGACGAATCGTAGATGTCCACAAAATGCAAGAAAAAAACACCTGCTATGAACTATGAAGTGCCTTACAATGAAAATTTATTACCTGGAGGACGTATTGAGAGTGGACTGGCTGTGAAATGGAAGAATGTCAGCGTTGTTACTGCTCAGCCTGATCGATGGTACACAGAAAACCGCTCAGAGAGATCCAAGGAAGAGACACCTGATGAGAATGCTACAAATCAGAAAGAAAAACACTTGCTTGCAAGGGAACTAGAACTTGCAAACACTTCAATATGTCGAGAATGTCGAGAATGCCGAGCTTGAAAAATTTGTAGTGCAAGATTGACGTTGGCATTTCGATGAAGTGAAATAGAAATTCAGCCATCTCAAAGCGAACAAAAAATCACGCAGCAAGCTGCTTGATCTTAGAAAAGAAAGAACAAACGCACCTTCTCATGCCTGTGTTACAAGTTTCTTTTGAGTGATTGCTCGCCCACCGGAGAGGCCGCCGGGGACAGCTCCATATCCTCTGTCCATGACAAGCTTTGGCTGTAATGGCGAGACGATTTAGAAGGGATTATTACCGAAAGAAACAAGAGCGGCAGAACAAAACCTGATCCACCATGCCGCTCCGGAATCGCTGCGAGGTTAGCTACTGCGCTTGAGGACTAGAATCCGTTCGATCGGACTGCGCTAAGCCCGAAATATCGATCGGTAGGGAGATACCTGATTGAGGCCGCGGGACTCTAGCACTGCTGCATTTGATTGCTGAAGTCGAGCTCCGGCGCTTCGATCGGGAGCTCCTCTACCTAGATCGCGTCGCGCTCGGAAGTATTTCTAGACTGCCAAAAAAAGAGGAAAACCTAATCTTCAACGTTCACATAATAGCATATACTTAGAATATTCGTTTGGGCCAAAAGGCTGCGTTTACAAAAGCCCACACACGACATCCTTTTGCATTCACAATGGCCGTGCTTGTGACCACCAGCCTGGGCGATCTTGTAATCGATCTAGATTGTCAAAGCCAGGTAGCATACAGCTTTCTAAAGCTTTGCAAGATCAAATACTACGACGGCTGCTTATTTCACAGCGTCCAAAGGGATTTTGTAGCGCAAGCAGGCGATCCAACCGGCGCGGGATCTGGTGGCGACTCCATCTTCAAATTGCTGGGGAGAGATAGCCCAGCTGGAAAATCGAGTATGAAGCACGATGATATTGGAATGGTGGCGACGCCAAACCCCAATGGCTCGCAGTTCTACATCGCCACAAGAGGCCATGGTTTGGAATACCTGGATGAGAAACACGTCGTGTTTGGAAAGGTGGCGGAGGGTCTCGACACCCTAGAGAAGATCAACGAGGCGTACGTTAATGAAAGCTTCAGGCCGTACAAGGACATCCGGATCAAGAGCGTTGCTATCCTGGACGATCCATTCGATGATCCGGAAGGGCTTTACTCGCTAAAGATTCCGCCATGCGAGCAGAAAAACGTCGTGACAACTCTGGACGATGGTTGGAACCCTACGATCGACGAGACAAAGATGGAGATCGAGAACAGAGCTCGGGAGGCGCGGAGCAGAGCCGTGGTGCTCGAGATGGTGGGGGATATTCCAGATGCGGAGATGAAGCCCCCGGAAAACGTCCTGTTTGCGAGGAATCTCAACAGGGTGACGGAGGAGGAGGACCTGGGGCTCATATTCCAGAGGTTTGGAAAGGTGGCGGAGGCGAGCATTATTCGGGATCACAAGACTGGGGAGAGCCTCTGCTATGGTTTCATTGAGTTTGCAAACAGGGAGTCTTGTGAGGAGGCTTACGTGAAAGTTGGCGGAAAGGGAGGCTTGCTGATTGATGACCGGTGGGTTCAAGTTGATTTCAGCCAGAGCTTGGCCAGATTTTGGCCAAGACATTTTAATGGAAGGCTAGAAACAATGCCAAACAAATAAAGAATCTCTTAAATTCTAAAGTATCATCACTAAATTCTATTCCTTTGATCTTGGAGCTCATGTTGTTTGTTTGTCAGCTAGAGAGACCAATGATTCTAAATTGTTAATTAGCACTTCTTAGTAATGGCTTAGATAGCACATGAAAGCAACACTTGGAGAAGCAAACAAAAATGTCTGAATATCTTCCCTTTCTTCCCTTCTTCTGATCTCCATTTTCCACAAAATGTGGGTGGGCTTTCACATTCGCTTGCAGTATCTTTGGTGTTTGCAATTTTTCTTTGTCAGAGAATTGGGCAATGTCTTGGTTGGCTTCTGCCACTCCTCACATGCATGCCTTTTCTCCCCTTTCCTTTTTTTTTTTTTCATTCACTAAAAACTGCTTCTTCTGCCTCTAGTTTTGACTTTGGGGTGAGAAATATCAAGAAACTCAAAAAAAAAAGAGGAAGAAAAAGCCAAAGGAAACCAACTAAAGCAACAGTGAAATAATTGACTGGCTTTGATTCAGGTGGCATTCATTTGCATGCCAACAAAAAGAATGCCAACTAATTCGCTTGGAGCGCATGTCTTGGAGCAAATACAACATAAAAATCAACATGGACATCATGTGAAGATTCTACTCTTGGCAGCGGGGAATATGCCAATCTTGGTCTTGATGGTGGCGGGAAAGGAGTTCCATGCCGACCGGCTGCTGTCGGTGGCGCCACCGGCCCGGCCGGCGCACGCGCTTACAGCCGTTGGATGGAGACCCCTAAACGATTTGAATTTGGGGGGCTGTGAGCCGTCGGATTAGGCCCTGGCGAGGTCATTTACAAAAACACTAAAAGCGCGAGCTAGGCGGAGGGAGAGGAGATTTGCCGCCGCCGCCAGGCTGCCGCCGTCACCGCCACCGCCGCCCCCGTGTAGCTTAGGGCCGATCGATCTGCTCGCGCTCGCTCGCGCGCCGCCACCGCGATCCACACATGGCGACTGACGCCTGTCAGGCGCTGCCGTTCGATCCGTGGCGTTGTTCTCTCAGGGCTAGGACATGGTTTTTCTCGGTGCGCTGGTGAGGTGAGCGAATGCCAGCATTTCTTCCAGGCGATCCGTGCTTGTGTCTGATCGATGCCTCGATTTGTGGATCAGGCTTGTCGCGCATTGGGTGGGGATAATCCGGCCGCGAGAGGGAAAGATAGATGGCTTCTACTTCGGCATCGTCGAGAAGATCTAGCTCCCCGTTTAGATTTAGAAGGCCGTCGTCAGTGAATGGTAGAATCCCTGGATTCCAGCCCGCCTCGCCGTCCTCCATTTCTTCGCCGTCGTCGACTGGTAGAGCCTCTCTCGGTGGTGGCGGCGGTGGTAGCCACAGGTCTCTCACGCCGACTAGATCCAGGAGTAGCAGCCAGGCTCTCATGACCCCTCCATCGATGAAGTACTCTTCCTTCAATGGGGGTTCCAGTCCTTTCACGCCTTCTTCTTCCTCGTCAATGTTTGATAGAGTGGAGTTTATCAACAGGGCCAAGGAGAGCATCTCCGTGACCGTTCGCTTTCGGCCATTGAGGTAAGATCGATCGAAAGTTTCATGCATTGATTCAAGTCCTTTTGTTTTTATTTGTCTCAGTTCTAGAGAAATCCAAAAGGGTGATGAAGTTGCCTGGTATGCCGATGGTGACACGACTGTAAGGAGCGAATACAATCTGGCTACATTCTACGCTTTTGGTTAGTTTTCCTTTATCCAAGACTATGAATTCATTCTTTGTTTTTTTTCTTGTTTTGATAGATCGAGTTTTCGGCCCCGCTACAACGACGAGAGGCGTTTACGACATCGCCGCGCAACATGTTGTGGCAGCTGCTATGCAGGGTGTAAATGGTTTGTGGTGAAGAGCTCCTGCTTTATCAGATTTTTGTTCTTACGTGAATTTGTTTCTACAGGAACAGTATTCGCCTATGGTGTTACCAGCAGTGGCAAGACTCACACCATGCATGTAAGCATCCAGACTGGCTGTTTCCGGAATTTATAAGCCGTTCTTTTGATCAGGGTGATCAGAAAAGCCCTGGCATCATACCTTTGGCGGTGAAGGACGTCTTCAGCATTATCCAGGATGTATGTAAGTTTCGATTCTGCAATGAGTTTGGTTCCTTAAAGATCTACCTGTAGACTCCGGGACGGGAGTTCCTTCTGCGCGTATCTTATCTTGAGATTTACAATGAGGTACGTAGCGTTTCTGTCAAGCTTGACTAAATGTCCATGTTTTGTAGGTGATCAACGACTTGCTGGATCCGGCAGGACAAAATTTACGAGTCAGAGAAGATGCTCAGGTACTACTGCGAGATTATTATGACTAACCTTACCTTGATGTTCTATTTGTGCTGAAAGGGAACTTATGTCGAGGGTATCAAGGAAGAGGTTGTCCTATCACCTGCTCATGCTTTGTCTCTGATTGCTGCTGGTGAAGGTAGATTTTGTTTGTGAGAATAAACAGTTCTCTAACTACCTATTTAGAACATCGACATGTTGGATCAAATAACTTCAATTTGTTCAGCAGTCGAAGTCACACAATATTCACTCTGGTATGTGAGTTTGAGATTTGAACGTTTGTCGTGACATTTGTTTTCGTAGACTATTGAAAGCAGTTGCCGGGGTGAAGATTTTAGTGACGACGAGATAACTCTCTCTCAACTGGTAAGTCCTAGCTGTGTAATGGATCTTGTCTTAAAAGTATAGTTCTGCTGTAGAACCTTATTGATCTTGCGGGGTCTGAGAGTTCCAAAACGGAAACAACTGGTTTACGACGTAAAGAAGGATCCTATATCAATAAGAGCTTGTTGACCCTCGGCACGGTATGCTGCATCTTTTCAAGAAAAACATAATAGAAATTCTCTTGCTTTTCAGGTTATTTCAAAACTTAGTGATGGCAAGGCATCTCACATACCTTATCGTGACTCTAAGCTTACGCGTCTATTGCAATCTTCTTTGAGCGGACATGGTCGTATTTCGGTAATGTAAGAATCGTTCTGGTCATTCACTCATTGTACGTCCTACTGCAGCTCATATGCACTATTACTCCTGCTTCGAGTAGTACCGAAGAAACCCATAACACCTTGAAGTTTGCTCAGAGAGCGAAGAGAGTGGAGTTGCATGCGGCTCCAAACCGGGTATTAAATATTCTGCAATGCACGTTTAATGCAGAAGATTAACCATTTCTTTGCAGATATTGGATGAAAAATCTCTGATAAAGAAGTATCAAAAGGAAATCACACATTTGAAGCAGGAACTGGAGCAATTAAGAAGAGGACTATTTGAACGACCATTTGTAGTTTCGAACCATGACGATCTTCTAACTTTGCGCCAACAAGTAAGTCCTTTTCTTGGCTAGAGAACTCGTTCATTTATCTTTTGCATGAAGCTGGAGGCCGGGCATTTGAAAATGCAATCTCGGCTCGAAGAAGAGGAACAGGCAAAAGCAGCTTTGATGGGAAGAATCCAAAGGTTAACGAAACTGATACTGGTGTCAACCAAGAACACCATTCCTCTGAATCTCCCGGAAAAGAGTACACAGCGTAGGAGACATTCTTTTGGGGAAGAGGAGGTATTTTTATATTTCAACAGTGATCTCCCTCTGATTCGATTGTCTTTTGCTAGCTTGCGTACTTGCCAGATAAGAGACGAGAAGTTGCTGAGGAAGAGGATGATTCTACTACTGTTGGGCCCGAGTCAGAAATATCTGGAGATGGAAATTGCATCAGTAGTAATCCTGATGATGCATCAAAAGAAGAAAAGAAGATCAAGAAAAGAGGAATGCTAGGATGGTTTAAACAACTGAAGGTAAGATCTTTGTGATTATAACTTCATTGGGAATAGCTTTTTCTTTTCTGGTTTTAGAAACACGAGAGTATGCATGCAGTTCCCGAGGAGCATACTCCAAGCGGATCATCAGTTTCATTTGAACCTCCAGTGGACTTTAAGTCTAGACGTAGAAAGTCATTCAGTCGAAAACCAGACGAACTGCCTCCCATCGTTGATCCTTTTCCTGAACCGACGCAAGCAGGAGAACTCTTTAGCGCCACTGTACGTGGTCGAAGGCCCCCTCCGGTATGCCAATTCTCAAGTTTGCAACCACAAATGCTGACAAGCTTTTGTAGACTGGAACAACAATGGCTGATCAAATGGATCTTCTTCGGGAACAAATGAAAATGCTTGCTGGAGAGGTTGCCCTCTGCAGTAGTTCGCTCAAGAGGTTGTCTGAACAAGCAGTAACCAACCCTGAGGATGACCAGCTTCACGTAAGTTTTAAATGACTATTAAGTTTCGTCGTTTATTTTACTTTTTCTTGTCATACAGATGCAAATGCGGAAGCTGAAAGAAGAAATTGATGAAAAAAGACGGCAAATGAGCATTATTGAGAAAAGGATTGCTGGTTCGGCTGAAGCTTCATCTACAAATGCTTCTGGATTTGAAATGTCACAGGTACGAATTACCTTCAGTTTTCTCTTTGCTAAGCATTTGGTTTTGCAGACCATTTCGAAGTTGATCAGCCAGCTCCATGAGAAGGCTTTCGAGCTTGAGGTATGTGCAAACCAATCAGCTATATTTCTTGACTCTTTCATGATTTACAGATAAAGTCCGCCGACAATCGGATACTACAGGAGCAGCTTCAATCCCAGGTGATGGCAATGTGAATTTTGCAAATAGTGTTGTAATTTTCTACATGCAGACGAACGAAATCAATGAGCTACAAGAAACGGTTGTCTCTTTGAGGCAAGAGCTCCAAGCATCACTTGAAAAGAGATATTCTCAGCCAAAGAGTCGGAAACTGAGCAGGAGTTTCCTTGAGAATGGTGCAGATGACTTAGCCACTTGGCTAAATTCTGAAAGCCTTTCCGAGGACTTGACAGGAGACTCTGACTTGGCTTACCCAAAGGATGGAGAAGCAGACTTGGATAGTCTTCGTGCGGAGCTTATGGAACAGGTTTGTAGCTCTACTGGATTTTTCTATCACGCTAATATGTTTACTCCAGGCTGCTGAGTTGACAAAGCTAAAGAAAGACTATACTCATCTTTTAGAGGTAAAAGACGGCCTTTACTTGGAGAACCAGAACCTCAATGAGGAAGCGTCGTACGCCAAGGAGCTTGCCTCTGCAGCGGCTGTGGAGCTGAAGCACTTGGCGGATGAAGTCACGAAATTGTCCCTTCAGAACTCAAAGCTCAAGAGCGAGTTGGCGGCAGCCGAAGCATCGGTCTACAGAACAGGAACGGCCACTGTTTCAAAGGCAAACGCCAACAAGATGGGTAGAAATCCAGGTGCAGACGAAGATATCCTTTTGGATGACTGCGAGCTGCTCCCGAAAGAATCGTCACGGAACTATCAAGAGCTGGAAAAGAAGCTCGAAGAATCAAGACAGCGCGAAGTGTCTCTCGAGAGCGACCTGGCGAATATGTGGGTTCTGGTTGCGAAGCTAAAGAAGGAGAAAGAAGAAGCCGAGGCCGGCAGGAAGTTCTCCACTGAAAACGGTCACACGGACGGGAATGGTGAACTGACAATCAACGAAGAGACCGAGCAATGGGGAACACTGAAGGAGCTAAAGGTGTATCTGAAGGATGAAAAACAGCGCGTCTCGGAGATGGAGCGATTCATCTCCCAGCTCAAGGTGAAAACCATTTGTTTAGTTGCTTTCTTTTGTCTTTCATCTTAACGTGATATATCGTGTTGTCCAGAGCGAGAACCTCGAAGGCCTAGACATCGATGCGCTGGAGGATCTCCAAAACCTTCATGTAGAAGCGCTGACAAAGCTGTGCCAAACAAAGGTACGTTCGTTGGATTTACAATCAAACCGCGCTGCTAACTTTCTCTTCCCTAGACGAGGATTCAAGAGGAAAAGGAGCGCGAGAGCAGTAACGATCCAGCTCCAGCTCCAGCTTCAATCGACGAAATCTTCGACGAGGACAGAGGAAGCCACGTTTGTAAGATCTGCTTCGAGGCTCCCACGGCAGCTGTTCTTCTTCCTTGTCGCCATTTCTGCCGTAAGTTCCATCTCTCTATTCTAAATCGTCTTTCTCATCTTAGTTCTCTCCCTCTCTTCTAACACTATAGCTCACTGTGACGAGTTCGTAGATCCTCTTTCTCATCGTTTGATCGTCTTAGTTCTCTCTCCCTCTCTCTTCCAGATCTTTCTCTTCGTGAGAATGTCTTAGTTCTCTCTTCTGGATCGTCCTCTTCGTTAGATCGTCTTAGCTCTCTCTCCGTCTTCTAGATCGTTCGTTCCACCGTCTTAGTTCTCACTCTCTTCTAGATCTTCCCAGATCGTTCTCTTCGCTCTCTCTCTCTCTCAAATCGTCGTGGAGAAACTCTAGATCGTCTTACACTCTTTCTTTTTTTTTCTTGCAGTGTGCAAGCCTTGCGCAGTTGCTTGCTCCGAGTGCCCGTTGTGCAGAAGTAGCATCACTGACAGGATAATCACATACACATCGTAAAGAAACAAAGAAAGATAATCTATCTTAAGCACAAATCAAGTGTTTAACTTAAGCTTATTTGTCGTACGCTGTCTTTGATTTCGTACAATGGGGTCCGTTTTGTATTGCCATGCCCTAAATTTTCTTCTCACCACTCTTCTCTCGACCCAGTAGTGTGAGGAGAGAGAGAGAGAGAGATTGAGAAGAGGAGATTTGGCGAGGACGATCCTGGTCTATGTTGCGAGGCAGGCGCGCGCTATCCACGCTCGTGCGCTCGCTTTGGCGTGTCAACGGCGGCTCCGCGCTGCGCTTCGCGGTAAGATTCCTCTCAGATCTCTCCAGATCGGCCTCCGCCGCCTCGCCATTGGCGGCATTCTTGCTGGGATCGCAATGCGCTCACCTCATTCTCGTATTTCTCACGCCAAATTTCGGGTTTCTTGGCTTTCCAGGCGATTTGTGAGTGGAGCTCTCCTGCCTCGATTCCTTCGCTTCTGGTATGTGACGATCCAGCCTTTCTTTCTCTTTGTCTTTTTCTTTTATCTTTTTGTGGATCTATTGATCGAAATCGGTAAAAACGCAACGCTGTTTCTTATGCTGGCAGGTTTTCTGATAGATTGAATGTCAATAGGTGAATACTAGGAAGCATTACTTCTCTTTTGGAGCTCGATTGATGGCTCTCACAGCCGAGGTGGCCACTCCAGCTCCACCTACTCTGGTACTTTACTCCTTTTTGGATTGATCTCTTTTCTAGTTCTAGTTTTCTAGTTTGATTTCTTTCTTGATCGTTTCCAGGCGACAGAAGATGGTACCAAGCAGCTTATCGATCCAAAGGTGATTTTTGTTCTTGGTGAGTTGAGATCCACGCATTTCAAAAGTATGTTCTAAAGCTTGCGGTGGTGGCAACACTTAGGTGGACCTGGAAGTGGAAAAGGGACGCAGTGCGCTAAGATCGTTGAAAAGTTTGGGTTTGTGCATTTGAGTGCTGGCGATTTGTTGCGTGCTGAGATCAATTCTGGGTCCGCAAACGGGTAACTTATTATTCTTTTCTTTTTCTCTTCTCATAGTGCTTACGTGAAAACGTGGCGGAGTAGGACCATGATCCAAAACATGATCCAGGAAGGAAAGATTGTGCCGTCGGAGGTGACGGTGAAGCTCCTGCAAAAGGCCATGGCAGAGAGCGGCAAAGACAAGTTCCTCATCGACGGATTTCCTCGAAACCAGGAGAACCGCGCTGCGTTTGAAGCAGTGGTAAAGTTTCAATCACCACAGCTAACTTCCTCCAACGTTTTGTTTGCGTAGACTGGAATCGAGCCAGAGTTTATTCTCTTCTTCGACTGCCCGCAAGAAGAGATGGAGGTGAGACTCCTCGGTCGTAACCAGGTACGCATTTTCGCCTCTCTCGGAGTTTTGCAACACAGTGTCCAACACTTGAAGAAAACTCAGGGACGCTCTGATGACAACATTGAAACCATCCGGAAGCGATTCAAGGTTTTTGTTGAATCCAGCCTTCCAGTCGTGGATCATTATGACAAGAAGGGCAAAGTTCGCAAGGTCTGGTTTTCTTTTCTTCCAGCTTTCCAGCTCATGTTGTGTTGGTGTCTCCTTGTCTAACAGGTAAATGCCGCCAAGACGAAAGAAGAAGTGTTTGAAAGCATCGAGACTTTGTTCCAAAAGTTCCAACACCGCTCGGTCATGCAGCACGTAAATGCTGCGTGATCCGATTGATTGATGGAGAGATCTCGCTACTGGTAATGGCTGCTCACTTCATCCCCCCCGTAAAATTCATCCCAGCATTTTTTTCATCCATCCGACTCTCAAGTTTAGATCGAAACAAAGAAGAAATAAAAATACAGAGAAAGAAGCGTACGTACACCTTTTGCTTGGCGTGAATGCCGAATGAAAATAAACTCCACATTGCAGCTTTTCTCACGCCTTGTTCTTTGAGCCTCTCTTTTGACGATTCTTATTTTGTGTTGCCAAACTCCAAAGAAACCTCTCGTTTTAGCTTGCTTGGTCAAAAAACAGTGCTCAGGAGTAAGCTCCTAGCGTAAAATTTGTACATTGCGCATGATCACGTGTTACCTGGAAAGTTTAACGAGTGAGAAGGCTGAAAAAATAGACTTTGTTCTACTTCTTACCATGTTGAGGTTGATCAACATGAACAAAGAAGCTGGCAGCCACAATCAGGTAGCAAAACAAAAGCATCAATCCTTTGAAATAGTTGGATGTTCCCTCCTGGAATTAATTAAAGTGTTTATACTTGCAGCACGAAGTTGGAAAAAGAATCAAACCTGTAGCATGAATGCGACGACTAGCACGGTGATGAACAAGGTAGCAGTCTCAAAAAGCTGGAAGTCCAAGTCCATGGGCTTTCCCATTATCCAGCCCATTACTACGCAAAAGGGAATCTGGAGCAGCCAGCAAAGTCAGTCAAATAACGCCAAAGATGGTTCCACAAAACTGTGCTATTTTACCACAAACATTGATATTTGCGTGGATGAGCCAATCGCTACCCCCAACGAAATATCCTGCACGATTAGCATATGTAACGATGAAAGCCCAGAGAAAGTAGCACTTGTTTTTACGCACCAGCTTGTCTTTTAGAGCAAACATTATAGCGCTCGCATGCTCTGCCGCATTTCCAACAATTGGCAAGATGATCACGCTGATAAAAGCCACAGGGATGTTCCAACTGTCGGCGGCACCCTGAGCAGCCAAGCGAGAAGTGAGAACGAATCAAAGAGATAATCAAAATCACCTGGATTGCGTCAACGAGATACTCCGACAAAACAGAGATAAAAACGGTCAAAATGGCGAGCCAGCCATTTGCTTCCCAAAAGCCCATCACGGACTCCTCCGCCTCGGATTCATTATCTCCCGTTTCCTGCAATGTATCATATAAATCAGATCAAAGTAAGAAAACTAGAACTTACTTGTTCGTTCTCATAAAGCTTTCTGTGGCTTTTTAATTGGAAGAAAAGGTACGATGCGTAAGCCATGAGCATGATGCAGCTAGTGAACCTGGAAAGGCTCAGCTCAGATTTACCATCATGAAGCTCTGTGTGCGTGGAGTGAAGAACGGCAGGGAAAAGCAGTCCCAAAACTGCCATGAGAAGCAATCCGGAACTCACCACCGCAGAAGCCTGCCAACAACGACAAATCGCAAGCTTTACGTACAAAGAAAAAAAGAAAACGCAAACGTCACCTTGTTGAATCTCTGATCCTTGTGAGGAAAAGCGAGACCACCCATGAAGAAGGCGCATCCGAGAACAAGTAACATATTCGAGAGGATAGATCCCAGTAGCGACAGCTGAACCACGCGGATCATGCCATTCCGCAGAGCGAAGATAGAGATAATCATCTCGGTGGCATTTCCAAACGTCGCATTCAGAAGGCCACCGACTGCAAGAGAAACAAAAAGGACCATTCACTCTCTTTGTGATCGAGAAAAGGGTATAATTTATTACCCGTGGAGCTGGTGTGAAATGCCAGTTGCTCCGTGACAAAGCCCAAGCGCTCGGCAAGAGGTGCGATGCCGAGTAAGCTGATCAAGAACACCCAGCCCTTCACAAGAAACAATAACATAAGCGTACGAAGAAGTTGCAAACAAAACAAAGAGAGAGAGAGAGAGGAGTAACGTACCATTCCAGACTTCAAGTTTGCTAGAACGATCGATATCGGCACCAAAGGCAGGAGGCAGCAAAGCTTGCTTCCCAGCAAAACTTCCTTCGCGCCCCTTGCAAAATGCTTGTACCACGGCCGTCGCCTCTGTGCGTAAGTCAAGTCCAGCTCACAGTGCTCGGAGACCTCGGAAATCAATCGCTTCTTTTCGATCTTCTCGGTCCCAAGCTGAAAGAAAAAAAAACACAGAGGGAGATCAAACAATCTCTAGGAAAAAGAAAAAGATAGCAAGCTACGCACCTCCTCATCGAGCGAGATTGTTCTCATTTCCATCTCACCGTTTGCTTCGTTCATCGCTTTCGCGCAATGCGGCCTGAGCGTTAGACAAACATTAGATAAGAAAAGGCAAAGAACAAATAAAACCAATGAGAAGCGAACAACAATATTTTGTTGTCAACACGAGCTCACCGGAATCCATTCACAATCTGCGGCTCGCCGAGGCGATCGTCGCGATTTCCAGAATCCATGGACCGCCAAGCGATCAAAACACCGCGATCGCCAAAACTCCAACCCCTAAATCCAAATCCGCGTCCTAGAATCCATGATCCGCGCCTAAATACCTCCAATCCGCATTAAATTCGTGCTGCTGCTACCAGGGATGCGTCGCTTCCGGTCACCGATTCCGCCGCCCTAAGAGTGATCCCTCGCCTCGCGATTTCCTGGAAGCTCGAGGAGGAGCTCGAGAGCTCGTAAAAGGGTTTCCACAAGCCGTTGGATCCGCCCTATCCAACGGCCAGCGATTTGTCCTGAATTTTATCCAATGTCTAGACCCTTTGCTAATGTCATACATATATCAACCTTTGATCAAAGTATGGGACAGAGGAGTTTTTTACATTTTAAGAAGATTTTAGTCCTATGTCTGTCAATAAGAGTGAGTTGGATCATCCATCGCCCTCTCGAGGGGATGTCGCAGCACTCCTCGAGCTTTTTCCTTTGAAGTTCTTGCGAAGTTCTTGCTATGACGCAGCACCATTGTCTTCCTCGGCGGTAGCGGCAGTGGAGGATGGAGCTGGAGCGTTTTTCGTGTGCTTCTCGACGTATTCCTGGATTGACAAACCATGGCTGAGGATAATCGATCGAGAGAGTGAGGAAAAAAGAGTTTTCTTTCATACCTGGACGAGCTTGACGATCTTGTCCTTGGACGAAGCCATGAATCGATCCACTCGCTCGGTGCCTTTGGGGATCTGCGAGCCTTGCAAGTTCCCCACCACTTTGTTCACGGCCTTTTGCGCGATCACCTTGAAGTCGTCCTTGCTGAGAACTCCATCCCTCCACTTTGGATTGAGCAGCTCCTTGACGAACTCCGCGACTGTGTTCCTCACCACCTTGAGAGCTCGCCCATCCTTCTCGCTCCTCTCCTTTTGCAAGCGCTCTCCATCCTCGTCGCCGTCTTCCTCCTTGTGGTGATCCTTCTCCTTGTGATCCTTCTCCTTGCTGGTTGCGGCAGCCTCGGAAGACCTCTTGGAGCCCGCCTCCGCAACTTCGAGCTTGGAATTCACAACCTCCGGCTCCTCGTCTGCCGCCACAGCCACCGCCGCTGCTGCTTTCGGAGAAGAGCCGCCCTCCACTTCCATCTCCACGTCGTTCGACGACGAAGTTGGCTGTAGCGGATCATACTTTTCAGCTGAAACACCCGGTTGCTGCCGGAGAAAAATCGCTGGAACTGGAGCCGAGGGTGGCGGAGGAGGAGGAGGCTGCCCACCAACAAGTCCCACAAAGTGCTGCGGAGGAGGAGCGTGGACTTCGAGCGGCAAAACTTCGCCACCAGAGGACCAAGGCGGCGGCGGCGGAGGTGGCGGTTGCGGTCCCAGCGGCCCGTTGCTCAGCTGGCTTTGGATGTGAGACAATTGCAACTGCTGGAGTAAAAATTGCTGCTGTTGAGCTGGTATTTCAGACAAAGCGGGTGCAAATGCCGCACCAACTTGGGGGTAACTGCCAGGAACTCTCGGCAGTCCTGGATCCTGAGAGATGCTTGCAAAATGGTGCTGCTGCTGCTGCGGTGGAAGCGGTGGACCTTGCTGCGAGTCGTGCATCAGAGGAGCAGTGATATATCTAGCAAAAGTGGTGTTGTCCGCTGCCACTGCAAATCCCGGTGGATGCTCCAAGTTTGCTGGCGGCTGAGGCGGGGGAGCTAGAATGTGACCGACGTGCTGGCTTGCGAACGGTAACGCTTCCAAAGGCAACGGCTCCGGCTGCTGCTGCAAGCTCTGGCCCGGCTGGTGATGGTGGTGAGTGAGTTTGTTGTTGTTACTGTCATCTTTTCTCTCGTCAGCGTCGCGTTTAGATTGAAATCGCTCCCTCCGTCTTGGCGAGCGGCTGGAGCAAAGAAAATAAAGAAAACTTTGCTAGATCAGACTTTGGTGAGGCAACAAAGCACGAAAGAAGAACAAGCACTGTTTTATAAAACGAAGAGGAGAACGAAGGGAGAAAAGCTGCCGGAGCTGACCTGTGAGATCTTCCACGGCGTCGGGGTGAATGGTTTCTGTGTGATGGACTTCGTGGCCGGTGTCTATCTCTTTCGGGAGACCTGCTTCTACTTCGTCTTCTTCTTCGGTTGCCTGGACTGGGAAATTCCTCCTTGGCTTCTTTCTCGTCCCTCCGTCCAGCTCCACCGCGAGTACGGTCCGTTTTCACGTTTCGCCTGGGGTCAGTAGGAGCATCCATAACTGGCTTCGCCATCTGAGGCTTCGGAGCCATCTTATCCTTCTCAGACGGCTCGGCGAAAGATGGCCGTCTCTCTCCCGGAAGTGGCACGCCAACTTCTAGTGCAATCTTTTGCCAGTCAAGCTTACCATTTTCTGGTAAGCCAATGATTGCCTCGAGACGAAAATCTGTGCCAAAAAAGGGAACCACGTACAATGAGATTATAGCAACAGAAACCATAGGAATTGGAAACCACGTACAACAAAATTCCAGCAAAACAATAGCACATACCATGAGAGAACCATTCTAGGAATCAGCGGAATCCACGTACAATGAGATTCCAGCAAAACAATCGAACTTACCATGAGAAAACCATTCTAGGAATAAGCAGACAGGAAAGAAAAAACACATTCACATTGCTGAATGCACTGTGCAAGGAGGCATTCGTTGTAACTACCAAGAATCTAAGCTAAATGTAAAACTTTGACATTTGAGTACCTCTTAGAGTTTGCACGCCTTGCAAACACTGCTCCAGCTCCCGCTGCATCGATCTAAGACGATCTGGAGGTATCTTCCCCTCGGACACCGCTTTCCTGGCCTCCAAGACTTTGAGCATCACTTCCTTTTGCCACTCGTAGTAGTGACGCCCAATACTCGCCTCGCTCCCTGGCTCTCCGCCATACAAGAACGAGAACTCTGATTTTCCCTGCTGCTTTGCTCGCACCAGCGACTCATTCTCCACACCGAACTTGGCCACAAACGCCGCGAAGAGTTTGATGTGATGCAGCATTTTCGGGTCCCTTGGAACCGGAGGAGGGATCGCGAAGAAATGGAGACTGTCTTCTCTTCTCGTAACGAGCCTGGGATCTGCGAGCGGTGGCCTTGGCGGTGCTAGCGGCGGCCCGCCCTGCAAGGAATTCCCAAAATCCGGTAGCATTTCAAACGGACTCTTCATCCCTGGGGGCGGCCCCAGGAGCCCTGCGCCGGAATGGGGATGGCTGCTAGCATCCAGCAGCGACACTGGAACTGGCCCTCCCGGGAACAAGATCCTGTGGACTTGCTCCCACGACGCGTTTCCCTTGTCCATTCCCCCGAAATCTCTCCCAAAATCCAGATTTCCTCCTCACGCTCTCATTGCAGCTCCTGGCGCCGCTACCCTTGCTTACCTCCCGATCGCCCAGCGGCCCCATTGCGCCATCGCCGCGGCCTCCTCCATCCCTGGGAGAGTTCCCAAAAACCCTAAAGAGCCCTAGAAAATAGGTACCGTGAATCTCGGCCGTTTGATGGCGAAGATGCTAGCTAGGGTTTATGGAATGTAGCATGGCGCTGAGCGCTGTGATCCCCGCCAGGCGCTTCTTCCTCCCCAGGGCTCTCAGGTACGAGGCAATCCCCAAGAAATCGTGCTGCGCGTGCGCGGCATCGATCCAGCAGTACAATGCGGGCGCCAGCGATGACAATGGCAGCAATCCGCAACGCTACTCGATGTTCTCGGACAGAGCACGGGATCTAGGACCGCAGCAGGGGCAGGAATTCCATCCGGATGATGGATTTCGATCGGCGGGCTCGCGCTCCGTCGCGTCACGGCCCTCCATTCCAGGGAGATATTCCAAGTACTCCAAGAACGAGCCCTTCCGGAAGATATCCAGTCCTACAAAGCGGCCTCCTCGGCCAATCTTACCGCCGGCTTCCAGAGGCTACTCCAGTTCTTCGCAACCGAGTGAGAGCTCTTCGCAAGGATTGGACGCTTCCCCGTCTCCTCCTCCTGCTCCATCTCTCCAGTTTCCAGAAGGATCAAATCTTCCCAATTGGTCGAGGAAACACCTAGAACAGGCAAGCTCTGCTCGTCGAGTGAGGCCGCCACCTTTGCCACGAGAACATCTCGAGCTGCCAGTGCCAAAGTATCCAAACCGGCTCCAGCAAGGCTTTGCTACTCGGTGGATTCGCAGTGAGCCCGCGGAAGAGCGGCCGGTTTACGAGCTTCCTTTCGAGTTCCAGTACACATACTCGGAGATGCCAAAGGAAGAACCTATCGCCGAGCGAGGCCCGCAGTTCTCTCCTTTCGGTCCCGACACGATGCCGAGGCCGTGGACTGGAAGAAAGCCGCTGCCTCCCAGCAAGAAGAAGCGACACGAGATCGACTCTTTCAATCCGCCGCCTCCGAATCTCAAAGGCGTGAAGCCGGTCGAGCCGGCGGGTCCGTTTCTGGAAGGACAGCGTCCAATCCTGGCGACCACTCGAGAGGAGGTGATGGGAGAGCCTCTCACTCCGGATGAGATTGGAGACCTTGTTCTAGCGTGCAACAAGGAGCATCGGCAAGTTAATATTGGTAAGTCTTTCTCTTTTTTCTCTTCGTTTCTTGTGTTTTTCTCGAGCTGACAGCGATCAATCAGCTCAGGCAGGGACGGGCTAACGCACAATATGCTGGATTTGATCCACTGCCACTGGAAACGCAGACGAGTTATCAAGCTCCGGTGCAAGGGAGTTCCAACCATCGACATGGACAATGTGTGCTTTCACATAGAGGTTAGCTTGAAGAATTTTTGTTCTCTTTCTCTTCTCTTGTATGATGGAGTCTGGTTTTTCAGGACAAGACTGGCGGTAAGATCATCCAGCGGCATGGTGGATCGATCTATTTGTTTCGAGGACGCAACTACAACCCAAGATACCGGCCTGAGATTCCTCTCATGATGTGGAAGCCTCCAGTGCCGATCTATCCGCGACTTATCCAGCAGGCTCCGGCGGGTTTGAGCGTGGAGCACGCCGACTACTTGCGACGACGGGGCCGACGAGTGAAACCACTCACTAAGCTATGTAAGTTTGTAGCACCTAGAACTCACAGACCACTCGACTAACTTGCTGTGCAGCTAGAAACGGTGTTTACTTGCATCTCGTGAACGAAGTTAAGTCCGCATTCGAAGTGGACGAGCTAGTGAAGCTCGACTGCCGAGGCATGAACATCGCCGATGTAAGAAAGATCGGAGCCAAGCTCAAGGTACGTACTCCTCCAACTTAGTTAGATTTTCATACAAACTTTCGTGTTTACAATCAATCACTCCAGGAGCTCTTGGGAATCGTCCTTCTATCTTTC